CTACAAATGTATTTCAGTGTATAGAGATGGTTTCTAGAGCCCCAATTGTGGAGAAGATCTTTTAGGGAGGGACTGTCCAGTGCTGGGCACTCCAGGAACTTGGCAAAGGAGACCGAGAAGGAGTGGCCGGTGACGTGAGAGAACGTGAGGGATATTCCAGAGCTGAGAAAGTATTTTGGGAGGGAAGAGGTTATTAACTCTGTTAAAGACCGAGTCCAAAGTATGAAGCCAGAGACCTCATCGTTGCATTGAGCAGCATGAAAATCACATTGTTCTTAGCAATAGCTATTATGGTGGGAATGAGAGCCTGATTCAAGTCGGTTCAAGAGACCAAGGAGGGAGAGGATTGAGGACAGGAAGTATATATAATCCCCTCTGAGCAGGTGTTCTGTGAAGGGGAGCAGATAAATAAAATGGTAGCCAGGGTGAGGTGGTCAAGGTGCGTGTTCGTAAGACAAGAGATGGCGGCATAGATGTAGTGACATCCTCCACTGGGATGAGGGACATCGGTGATGCAGGAGAGGGAGGGAATGGTGGGGGCAGTGGCCTTTATTTGGTGAGGTTGCAGAGGACCTACCCGGAGCAGATAGAAGAACCACCTGCTGTGAATTAAGGAGGCACAGTAGTAACGGGTAATCTATTCTACTGGACAAGGCCAGGAAACCAAGAAACCAGGGTGTATAGAGGATTGTCGATGTGGATATTGAAATCACCAAGAGTTAAGAAAGGGTGGTGGTGGAGCCAGCGACGGTGAGCCACAAGTGAAATCCTTAGGCACTGTGAGGGAGTGCTGGAAGGTAAATGAGGACTCTGTAGGCTGATGGCAAGAGCTTCAGAGCATTGGGTGTTTGGGAGGGACGGATAACAGTCTGGAGGTGGCAATGAGGAACAAGCAGGCATCCTACTACTATTAATGTTTTATTACCACATCTTGACAGAGATCATATATTCTGGGGCATGGCAGTGACTCTAGGGGAATACCTTGGCTTAGAACCCACCAAATCATTTCTAGCTACTGCTCGGAACAACTATGCACAACAACTGAAGGCTTTTTGTATGCAGGGAGAAAATACTGGAAAGTACCCAAAAGGTTCAGACGAGAAAATACGCCAAGAATGTTTCCCTTTTTACCCTGACACAGGTGAGACTTACCCGGCTTCAGCGTATTTTTGACATTGTGAGACGCTTTAGAAAACTGGAGATTTCAGCAACGTAGCCACTTGTAGGCATAGCAGCATGATAGCCTCCCCTCCCAATCTTGGTCAACCTGGCATCTCTACAGTTATGCTGACATTGTAAATAAGACCGCTAAAATGCACAGAAATAGTTTCGTAACATCCGATTTTAAAGTTCATCCAAGCTTTTTTTTTTTTTTCCCCCTGCTATGATTTCTTGCTGTCACCTAACATTTGAAATTCTGATTCAGGGTACCAACTGAGGGTTTTAAACAAAGCATAATACAGTATTACTATTCCTTTACACGAACCTCAGGGGAAGAGATTAAGAGGAGAGGGCAGCTGGGGCTGGGACATTTGCTACGTACACAGAGGGACCCACTGTGGGAAATGAAAACTCACCTCTCCACCAGCCTTTGCTCAGCCTCAGTGGTGTAATGCCACGCACCGATGATAAAAACAAACCGTCAAAACCAAACTGTCATGCAAGGAGTTGAGTTAGTTTGAAGATATCTACACAAAGCCAAAAACCTGTAATCTTTAGAACATTTCTATTTTTAACTGTGATTTTTAGTCTTCCTGCAAATGTTCGGCCTCATGGACACAGAATCCAAGATTTTGATCTGGATTTAAAGTACCTCAAAAACATATCCAGGGACATTTGTTTAAAAACACACTTTTATGGGGATTTGGGCTGCATCTGGCACTTCCTGCAATGGCAGGCCTAGAAGAATAAAGTCCACAGTAGAGATTAGGGTCTCATATTCTTTAGCACTATTCTTTTTTTTTTTTTTTTTTTTTTAATATTCGAGTTGCCTGTGGAAAAATTCCCAGAACAATGATACAGGACGGAACTCAAACACTAGAAAATGCTTGGTAGAAATGTACAAATGGTCAGTTTTGAACCTGAAAGTTCTCAAGGGATTTTCTTTGCTGGGGTTTCTGAAGAGAGTTCAGTTTATACCATTTTGAGACCCACGGAAGGACAGCACACCTTAGGGTTCCTGATATCACTATACTGATCAGAGTCAAAGGGCAGTGAGGCATTTGAGAAATAGTGGCAGGTGAATGAGGTCACATTTAGACTTTTGGATTTTATGTTGTACTGTGTGGTCTCAAGGGAGGCCAGTTATAGATTTGTTTGTTATGCTTCCTTTGATTTGGTTGGTCTCCAAGTTTTACACAGACTGTTGAGATGGCCAGAAGCGTAGTATCAGAAAGGATTCTGGAACATGAGGGGCCCAGTAGGATGACTCAGAACAATCAGTGTGTTGTGGATATTGTCCTGTTTTCCTCCAGTGGGTTAAAAGAATTTTATTTTCTTTCTTAAAAATAATGTAGCGCACCTTATATCTTAAAGCCGTCAGCACAAACGCAGGGACGCTTGTTCAAGCAGACTTCCAAAGACAGCACACATAAAGAGCTTTTCCACATTTCAAGAAAACAGCAACGGGAACTGGTACACATAATAGTAAAGAAAAAAAATTTTTTTAACCTCATGGAATGGGGTGGGGTGGGTGTCAGACTTCGGGCACTTCTTTTGTCTGGCAGTGGACAAAACCAGGAGGGCTCTGACTGCATGTCACATCTCTTTCTGATCTACTGCACAAGAGGGACCAGAGACACCAATTACCAATGAGTCACAACAGCAGACAGAAAACTGTTAGTAGGTCTTGACAAGCAGGAATGAAGATGCTTTTCAAAAGTGTGTATTTGATGCCAAGTATGTAAGCAGTGTACCTTAGAAAGCAATGCCATGGTGTTAGAAAAATGGAGTCCCTGTCCAAGTGGCCTTGTGGGATTTGGTCTGCACCTTGATCTATACTGTGCAAATAGCTCTAGCTAGGTCTTCTTGAAGCATCGTTTACGTCTTCAAGAAAAATAATGACATCTATATAAACAGAGCCATTAATTCTGTGTGGAACTTAGTGCGAGCTGTCTTCATCTCTGTCGTGTGCGTGGCAACGGTTGCATGTAACTGGCACGGGGAGGCCTCCAACCCCTTCGAACAGAGATGCTGGAGGTCATCTGTCTCTACCCCCCCAAGCTGGATGCAGGAATCCATACAGTTCCCCTGACTGGCACCCTAGAATGACGGCCACCTGTCAGAACCCGGGCCACGACTACAATGGGCAGGCTCAGGGGAGGTCACTGCATGATTATCAATTTAGAGCAATAAGGACTGAAAAGACCGAGTGAAACTTACTTGGGGGCGGGGGGGGGGGGGTTGGCTTAGTTTCTCTGTAGAACAATGAAACTAAAATCAATTCGAGAAACAAAATCCCCTCCGGGAAGAACTAAAACTAGTTTCAAAATTAAAGAAATTTTTATTAAAATGCTATTAAGATGTATGAAAAGCACAACCCTCCCCCCAATGTAAAAAAAAAAAAAAAAAAAAAGCAAGCAAGCAAGCAAACCAGGAAGTTGGGAATTGTTATGAGCCGTGAGAACGATAGTCTGCAATACTCTGCAAGACCGGGGTCTCAGTGTGTCGGGGCTAGGGCCCACCTTGGTGGAAGAAAATGTATTTTTGAAGATAAAAGCTTCAAGGAATTCTTTAGATATCTGTCAGGGGCCCTTTTAAATTTAGTCTTGCCTTGTACTCCGTGTAAAATATTTGTACAAAAATATAAAAGGCATGGCTTGATGTTTAACGTCTGTGTTTTATTGTTGTTGGCACCAGAAAAAGCTCATGTTCTATGTTATGTCACTGTACATACTGTAAACAAGACTGCATTAATATTGTTTTTATGAGTTTTTGTTTCAATGACTCTAGATTTTAAAAAATACATTCACAAACTACCTTATGTTTAAACACAATGATTCCCTTTTATTTCTTAACTGTACCCAAAATCCCACAATAAAAAAATCATTTAAAGCTGTGTGTTTCGAACTCATCACTTGGAAATCGAAACAAAACATAACATAAAAACAAAGATCAGTTTGCAACATAATTTAAAGAAGCTTCTGGTTTAAAATACCACAGCAGCAATATAAAGAGCTGGTGGCAATCACATTTGGGGATGAGGCCCAAATCAATATATTTTGTCCACGTCAGCATCCAATTACAGTAGTTGCTAAATTCAATCCAAAAAGTTATTGCTGAATCTGTTGCATGGAATTTGCGAAGATAGTACTGTTCAGCAGCAGAGCCATAGCAATAAAAATGAGAACGGGAGGGTTTCATTGCTTTTGAGAGCTAAAGGGACCATGATGAGGACATCTTGGTGATCGCCTTGAAGATAATCCCCAATTCCATTATTGTGTGTTACCTGTTTAAAATAAATGCAAATGATAACCACCTTTACAGGAGGGGCATAATCCTCTAGGTCAGAAACTGGAATAATTCCCCTGCCCTTCCCCCGATTGCCCAAACCACCAGATTGAAATGGCTCCATTTTCCTAACGTGTATTTCGTTCTCATTAATAGTACATCAGCTGCTAATGTATTTAGGCAAAAATCAGTAGGATCACAGACTTTGAAAAAAAAAAAATCTGTTTACAGTGATTGTTTTCTCCAGAAACCAGCCACATTAGTTTTTACTGATGTTGGATTTTTTTTTTTTTTGAATTTTTGAAGAACAACAATTTGGTCAACTACTGTTTTGTTTAAAAAATATTAAATACGCCTGAGATTGCCAGTTGAGCTCTCTATATGTCTCCTGGAGATAACACTGCTGTGATGAACCGTGAAACAAAACAAACGAAACGAGGTAGGTTAAAACAGGAAGCGCAACACAGATATCGTTTTTGCAACACCTCGATACCACAGGCGGCCATGCTTGTAGCTTTGGAAAAAAAAAACCCCAGACAGTCACATAAAAGTTCAAATCATTCGAGTAAGAGTTTATAAGGACACGAGTCAACCTGAACTAAATACATACATATCTCTGCACAAATGTTGTTTACCGTATGTTGGGTAATTTGGAGGAAGGTAAAATGATTAGGGTCTCAGAATTTTGGCCAAAGCCTTGCTTTTAAGTTCTATAAAATCTGAACCAATGATGCCTGCTGTATCTCAGGCAGGCTTAGTAGTCTAGTCCCTTCTCTCACCAACCCAGAGAGAACACAGGCAGCTCAGAAACATTTATTATTATTATTTTTTTTCAGTCACAGTTTTCATCTTGAGAAAGTGGCACCCTCAGGAGAAAGCTGGGGATGACCAGAGCCTGGATGTCATTCACTCCCCGATTCCCAGAAAGAACTCAACAAAGTCTCACTCCTAATGAAGCCCGAAGCAAGTGACCTCTTAGCTAGAGGCTTTGTGCATTAAAAAAAGAATGTGTGTGTGTGTGTGTCTCTCTCTCTCTCTCTCTCTCTCTCTCTATATATATATATATATATATATAAATTTTTTTTTTTAGTTTGTTTCCCAGAAGCTCTTTTTGTCCGACCTCATCAGTCATCCCATCTTTTGCCCTGATCTGTTGCATAATAGCTGAGGGAAAGTTGTGTTACAGAGTCCCTCAATTGCTAGAGCCAACTCAACTCAATGGCACTACTACCCCATTCAACACATTCCATTCTGTACAGGGCCATATAAAAATAGGGCCTGTCAGACTTGCAAAAATGGTAGTTGATTTTATTAGTCTAAGGCTAGTAGTTTAGCCATTTAAAATCTATTTCCCCAAAGAGGGGAAAACTAGTATTTTTCTTCTCTTTTAAAAATTCATTAGCCAGTTGCTATCAAAAAGCAACCTTTTGGGTTGGTGAAGGCAAAAGAGTTCTAAAATTACCCCACTATGCAATTATGGCCTTCAGTGTAAGGAGATAAGGTACATTTATTGTGCTGTCTCTCACTATTTGAAATTGGAGATTTTACAACGTATCATATACTTAAAGCTAGCAGGCAGACAGAATTAAAAACAGACTCATTTTCTCGGTATGCATTCTCTCCCCAGTCTTACAAAGTCAGGGGGTAAAGAAAAAAGGTAAAAACGGAACAAAACTCAAAATCCACCATAACACAGCTTAATCATAAGAGCACACAATATTTGTTTCTATCCCTAACTCCGAAGGGCACATGATCCATCTTTGTCCACAAGACAACGCAGCATTCTTGGGGATCTCCTGGAAATTCCTGCCACCTTTTTCTCTCCTTCTCAACCAGGCTGCAACACTGCAAGATGGACCGTGGACTGTACCGGGACAGGTGGAGGAAGAGGAAAAGGGGAAAGCAGTATGTTCAACCAAGCCTTCTGATTCTGCCTCTAGACTGGCATTAGTCCACATGAGTTACGTTCTTTTTAATTAGAAATAACGCCATGAAGATAAGTGCCAAGTGCTCTTCTGTTACCAGTTCATCATGGAATTTCTGTTGAGGGTCATGAAAAACACTTGGCTACTTCCTCCAGATCGCACGGATGCAAAAAATACCTGTTTGAAATTAAAAAGAAGTTAGTTCAACTGCACGGTTGTTTCTTTTCCTCTCTTCTTCCACCGTCCATCCATTTTCTCTCACATGACCTATCCTTTCCACGTGTCAGCTCTTAAGACTCAACGGCTGGTGTTTATAAAAGTGCCTTTAAATACGGTGCATCCTCTCTAAACACGCCTGACGTTCTCACTACGATTGTTACTATGACTTATTGTGGCACTGGCCTTCAGGAACGTGGGAGGGGCTATATTTTGATTTGCGACATCCCTTCGGATGCGCGCATTTCAAAAGGGAGTTTCATGCTAGGTAATGTCCTAAATTCCTGGCCGAGGACACAACAGGTCCTTCGTTCATCTCTGGAAAAGCCACAGAGGGCTTCCCTTCTCTCCCTCATAATGACAAGGGGTCAGAGTTTAGGATGGAAGGGAATGCTTTCAAATTCCCAAAGTCAAGGGGGGGGGGAGTTTTGGGTCTACTGTCTACTATACAACTTAAGTTATCAGTTTTTAAAGTTAAAAAAAAAATGGTGTGGTCAGACAGGATAGGGTGTTTAATGCCTATTCACTTTGGTATTAAGAGTTAACCCTTGGCTTGTCTGCTGGTGCAGGGTGTATCCTAGGCCAAAGGAGATAATGGCATTAATAAGTAGAACCACAGTCCATTTGGTCTGGGTCTGTTAAATCGTTTTATCAAACAACTAAAAGAAGTGAGCAAAAAATAAAAAATAATAATAAAAAAAAGAAGTGAGCAAAATTTGGGTTACTGCTTGCTTGAATGTCAGTGAACCACCGCCCTGGGAAAATGATATTCTGGGCTGTGGCCTAGCCCTTCAGTCAGCCAATACTAAACTTTGGTGCACAGCAGTTACTTTTGTCACTAGTGTAAAGTCTCTGCTACTTCATTTCCACAACTCCTCCAGAAGAACACTGTCTCTCCCAACAACAACTTCTTAGGAAGTTCAGTGGAAATGCTTGTCATTCAGCTAATGCTACATACATATGTAAGTACAGCTACTGTTAGGGTCAATGAATCAAAACGGGGAAGCACAGAGGACCCATGGAAACACAGCGTGGAGGGGTGGTAGGAAGAAAGGGCTGCCGTTCTCTCCGGGCTGTGTGTACCCTGGGCTGTGAACCTTGGGCCCCCTCAGCCTGCTCCTGAGGGTTTGGGCAGGGCTTAAAACAGGCTTCCTGGGATGGGTCTTCAATGAACTGAAGTGTGGGGGTCTATGCCCACATCACTCTTCATCTCACGATCCCTTGAGACTGGGTTGGGCCTAGAATTTCACTGGGGGTCAGGTCTATTTCTTGGCATACTCTGGCCAGGCCCTGGAACTATCCCGGCCATCCACAGCTGCTGTCTACCCAGACCACACCAACTCAAGAGTAGCTGGCCAGGGTCAGATATAGTCTAGACTCATAGTCCCAGGGTTGGACTAGGACCCCATTCTGGCTTTGGGCAACCAAGATGGAGTAAGAGATGTCTGTCCGTTCAACCCATCATATTCTTTACTATAGGCACTTTGCCTGCTATTTGGGGACAGCATTTCTAAGTTGGCCATAGTCACAAAGGATGAATTCACAAATGAGCACAGTTTAGCTACTAAAAACTCTGGGTTAGTCTACAGGGAGGGAAAGGGAGAAAGCAGCACTGCTGCACAAATACCCTTCTGAGGCGACTGATCATGCCAGACGGACTCCCCCAATTTCACTGCAAAACAATCCCCTTATGACACTTCAGAAGAAACATGGCTGGAATGACACAGGATATGGCACTAGTTGAGTTTGTGACTGTGCATTTCTTAAGGAATGGGTGACATTTTGCAAAAGTTGGTATTTCTACATGTCAAATGTCTTACATTTAAGGTGAATATAATGTGATGGATTAGGTCCCCGTAGTGACTTTGTGAAAAGTCTCAAAGTGGAGTGTGAAGTCGACCCGCTGTGAATGATTGATGATGGGCCAACTCTCCCAAGTGCGGAGGAGAATTTGGGATGTCTGCTGAGTCATTATAAGGCCTTCAAGCCACAAAAGTTGCTAAGAGTTTCCAAGAAATTTGTAGAAGTGTTAATGTCTTTTTAAATATGTGAATAATATATTTTGAGGGCTCACATGAACCAAACCAAATAATGCCATTTCAAGATAATACTGTTTAACACAGATATGATTCAAATCAGTATAAAGGAAAATGAAGGTTTCACAGGTACCTGGTGGTCTCTTAAAATGCAAACACTAATGCAAATGTTGAAACGGATTTACCTTATCATTTCTTTCACATAGAAACTTTAACCTTTGAGCTCGCTTATGCATAAATACTCCATCCAAATGTCCTGTTTCCACTGACCGGATCTCAATAGCTTTCTCGCCCCAGCCCATTATCTGATTGGAATGAATGTAGGCTGTCAAAAGGAATTTCCAAAACTGCATTAAAAACATTAGATGGGCAATAACTCACAGCATCTGTTCACATCTTAACCACAAAAATGACAAACGACTTGAGATAAACAGACAAAGCAAGTCTTACAAGTGTTATTCACAGACTTTTTTTTGTTTTGTTTTGTTTTTTTTTGTTTTTTGGTTTTTTTTTTTGTGGAATCAAATGGTTGTTTCACATTTCTTGACTTTCGTTTCATTTGGGGGGTGTAACTGCTGAAGGAGATAAGGAATGGTTAACCTACCCACGGACGTGGGCATTTCTCCCCATTGAAGCACCACATCCTTAGTTATCCGGCCATAGGTGTTTACATACACCCCCTCATCCTCATAGCAAACGAGCATTTCCATTCCATCTGTTTTAGGCAAGATGACAATGGCATGAGGAGTGATATTGCCCTGAATCTAGGAGACAAAGAAAGGCCAGGCATTATTCTTTTTTAAAAAATAAGACAGCGTCTTGACTATTAATCACTAAGAATTGCAAAAAAGAGTGTCCCCCCCCCCCCCGCCCAACCACGTTCATTCTAGAAAATGACATTTTGCTTTGCTTTGCTTAATTTAACCACGGACCTGTCAAATGCCCTAGTATACAAATACAAACTCAGGCACCAGGTCAAGAATCCAATTTACCTGGTTCCTAAAAACAACAACTGCAAGTATGGGACACCTACAGAGTGCAGAGCACTGGGCTCTTCCCATACATGATTTCTAGTCCTTAGAACAGTTCCCCATGGGAGGAACCATTCTCTATAGACGAGGCATCTGCATGTCAGAGGGGTTAGGCAGATTGGGCAAAGCTGCACTGGTATTTTGGTGGTAGAACTGGGATTTGAGCACATGTCTCATGGCCGTAGTAATTATGTGTTGTCCATCTACTTCTAAAAAAGATGAGGGGAATGCAGACCAGCTGAATCTGATGGAAATAGCCTAAATGGGGTCAAACGGTGAGGCCCAATGCCTACCAAAGAGGCCCTGAGCGTACAACAGACTGTTCATCTGTGTGCCTAAACAGGAAAATCCAAATTAACAGCTCGTTGAGAAAAAAACATTTAAAGTGACCACTCTATTGGAATAAATAAACACAGATGGGCTTTTGGAGAGGAGATGCGAGCTGGGACACAGCAGTGAGCGCTGTGTGTGCGCATGTGAGAGAGACTGTGTGTGTGTCACGTATCGGGGCAACTTTTTTCAATATTCGTGCTTTGTTTTGCAGTAAAGCCTATAAACTCTCAAAAAATCCCAGTCGGCAATAGATGGGGCCTCGGACTTTCCTGACAGTGTCTACTGTATGTTGGCCTTGGGATCACACGCAGGAAACACAGCTTGCACTGCGCCAATCCCAGTAAGTGAAACCATGTGCAGTATTTCTGTTTCACGGTCAGATTTTAGGCCATGTTCCAGGATTATAATATGAAGACGATAATTTGCAGGGGCTTGTGCCAAGTACCTTAGAGGTATTCTCTCATTTAATGCTGAGGACAACCCTCTGGGATAAGTCCTTTCACCCCCATTCTGCAGATGGGAAAGCTGAGGGCTGGAGAGACTGTCCAGTATGCCGGGGTGTGCACTCCAGTGTCTGATTCTACTACACGACACTCCCCTCCAGTTGGAGAGAGGAACAAAGACAGCAAAAGGAGACCACTGACTTTCCAAGGAACATGAACCCATCTCCCTTCAAGAACTGAAAACATGGAACTTGTCCATTGTACCCTTGCTTAAAAAACACAATTTATGTCCCTGAAGGAAAAATATCATATGCATTTTAATCTAAAGTCCAGAGAGGCAACATGTCCAGTAAATGGCAGAGAACTGCCTTTAAGTGCTACTCAGTTTCAAGCATTTGTAAAAGTTGGGCAAAAATTAGCCCAACTTCTACTAAAAATGTGCAAGAACGAATCTCCTTCTACATGCACATGGTTGCACAGAGAGCCCGGGCGGCTTACTTCCAGAAACTTACATGAGACGGTATGTAGATATCATAGGAGTTTCCTGAATCAACATCAATTACATGGAAACCAGTGTGTGAGCCAAAAATAACCTTTAATCTTTGACCTTCTTCTACCGTGAGGTCAACAAGCAGTGGCTTGTGCTGGAGATCTGCAAAAGACTTTAAGAAGCACCCCATGAGTGTCCACATTGTTCAAAGAGGTTATCTTAATTTTGTCTTTTAGCTAGAGCCTGGTGAAGTTAATGTCTGACTTTCTTATGTTGAAAAGCCAGATTTCTCTTTCAGCTTTAGGTCTATTCATATTCTGGCCCTAGGGAGAAGGGTCTAGCACCCATGTGTGGCCCCTTCCCCACCTCTTGTCCTTTAGGGCAGAGAAGTGGTTTACAGTTGTCAACTCTGACCGTGTCGTTATACCTGAAAAAGTTGGCACCTGGGTGCTGCTGCTCTTTTCCTATTTCTGGCTTTTCCCCCTGGAGAAGGTCCAGCCACTTCTCTGGTGCCTTTCCTTCCCATGGAACAGCAGGACCCAGGCATGACCATGACCTTCTCAGAGACAGCCTGGGGTGGGCTGCTGGGCCAGCTCTGTGCTAATAAACCTGTTCAGAATTAAGGCGTATGCTCTGTTCTGATTTTCCTTCAATGACTGAGTGGGCATCAGATTGGCACCTTCTTTTAAACTCATTTGAGATCTGAGACTTAGGTTTGGCCAATCAAGAAGCGGGGGAGGCTGGAACATCGTAAGACTCATGGCTTAAGTTGGCCAGTTGGGCTTAACGAGGAAGGAAAAAGAGAGCTCCAGCCAAGTTTATTGAGGTTCTTGAATCCAGAGCCCGAGCCCCAACTAGCTGTCAAGCATTATTCCTCTGTTTTCTTTTGCCGTTATTTCAGGACAGTCTACTTTTTCTAGGGCTTTGGTGTCTGGGAGAGAATCTGTAAAACCACAAGTGGCTCAGCTATCATGCCACCGCCACCCAGTGGAGCCCTCTTTCTTCATTTTTTTGCTAATGGAGTCTCACAGAAGGGGAGGCTCCAGTCTTTCCTGTTCTAGTCTTGGCCTTGGCACTGCCCTCCTGCCAGGCTGGGCGTGGTCTACTCAACACAGCCTTTTGCACCCCCTCATTCACTTTGGCTGGTAAACTGATGGCCGTAACTTCCGAATTGGAATGGGAAGGGACCCTGCCTGGAAAGCTTTTGTGGACTGAGATTTTGGCACAATGGCAGCACCACTTTAGCTTTTAGGTGTCACCCCTTAAATGTTATTACTAACTTAATACAGTCTAAAATTTCCACAAAAGTGCAGTTATGGAGGAAGCCCATTTCCATTGATGTATCATCTGTCTTCCTGAGCCCATCAGAAATGAGCCTTTGCGCCAAGGCAACAAGACGGCCTCAAAGAGCACCTTACGGTGTTCCCAAGGCAGCTTCTGCCCTCACATGGCCTAAGGGGCAAGAAAGAATACATAAAGGGGCCAAGGAAGATCAAAGCCACAAGGGTGGGGAGAAAAAGTGAGGGCCAATGTGCTATGAAGAAAGTGAGAGGTACACAGGCAGAGAGACAGGGGACAGAGATAAAGTCCCATGGGCTCTGCACAGAGCTGCAGCCCTGCAAACACCCAAGTGCCTGCACGTACTGGTCCTTCTGGCATTTGGGGGTCAACTTTCACGAGCCGGGGTCCACAGTGCTAGCACATCCTCATCCCACTCCTGTTGAGTGTCATGAGTGACCAATCCAACCATGGTGGTTATAGACTCAGATAAGGGCAAAAATGAAAAAGCAGAATGCAGAGAAACTAAGCCATTTCCTTACGTAACTACATTCAGCACTCATTTCAGAGAAGTCCGATAACACTGGGGATACATAGGCATCATGTGAGTTTTAGGGGCTTTACCCCAAAGGCTTATATGGATGACAAGATTTGGAGACACGGTTCATCCTTGAGATCTGGTGCTGCTGTTGGTATGCCTTTCTCAGACAACATATCAGAGTACTCTAGTTAGCTGCCTTTATAACGACTCTCGTTGCCTAATATCATGGTTAGTGCTTTGCCCAGTAGCCACGCCCCTCAGAGATGATTCGTAGACCTGAAATGGAAGAGGGCGCACCCTAATTTTTCCCCATTCACCCACCCTCTCCAACCCCGGTAAATTTTATAGCGCTTATTAGTGCTTAGTCTTTGCTTTTGGAAGAATAAGTCTAAGAGTACCTATACTTTAAAAGAGGCTTATTACATATAGAAAAATTGGTTCTAGTCAATATGCAAGACTGTTAACTGGTGCAAACCTAAAATTAAAAAAAAATCCCTTCTTTAGGGAATCGGCGTGCCTGCTTACCTTAAATGCCATGAACTTATGATAGGGTTTAGGAGCCCAAGCATATATCTCCACAGCATTCTTTAAGGCAATCACTAGGAATTTAATCCTTTCATATTTAACTGTAATAGACAAATTATGAATTAGAACAAGGATACCAACTTATTCAGGTTTTTGTATTAACGTATGTGTAAACCACGATACGTAAATATGTAACTGATGGTGATGCTCTTGGTGTGAGATTTGCTCATAGATCCAGATTGAACTTTCTTTTTTTTTTTTATTGGAGTTCAATTTGCCAACATATAGCATAACACCTAGTGCTCATCCCATCAAGTGCCCCCCTCAGTGCCCGTCACCCAGTCACCCCCACCCCCCTGCCCACCTCCCTTTCTACCACCCCTAGTTCGTTTCCCAGAGTTAGGAGTCTCTCATGTTCTGTCTCCCTTTCTGATATTTCCCACTCATTTTATCTCCTTTCCCCTTTATTCTTAAACCACTTGGTCTGCAGAATACTTGGGGCCTTTTGCTTTATACTGAAGGCTCCTTTTTTCATCTGAAGGCTTAGGACACTCTTTAATCACTAGGTCTAGATGTCAATGATTCGTTGCGATAAGAATCTGCACAATCACCTTCATGTTCCCCTCCTGGCTCTTACAGTCATCCACATGCAAGAAGCTGAGGGCTGCCATGGCCAAATGGTAGAAGAATTAGCAAGAGGGTAGAGACATAAAGGTGGCCATTTGCTTATTATCCAAATTTGAACTCCAGTTATTAGGGATTTATAAGTGATGAGTGCCTCTATAAAGAAGGCCCTTACATCGATCCCCCTCTCCATACACTGCAGGCGATTGTAGCAAAAGGACTGCTGTGTATGAACCAGAAAGCAGGCCCTCAGCAGACACGGAGTCGGCCAGCACCTTGGTCTTGGACTTTCCAGCCTCCAGAACTGTGAGAAATAGATCCCTGTCGTTCATGGTGTCTGCCATAGCAACCTGGACAGGCTAGGACGGTACCCGTGGCAGTCATTTCCTTTGGGGGAATATTTGAATGAAGAGAGCACTCGTGTCCTACAGAAACTGGACAGCCCATGGCCAAGAACCAAATTCTTGCTCTCTGCGCTCTTTTTCTGTAGTGTGCCCCTTCTGTTTACATGTTCTGCCTTTCATATGCTTTCAACTACCTCCTTGGCCATTTATTTCCATATTTCTAAATAACAAGCTTATAATGTGATTTCTTGATTTTCTTCAGTTGCAGGTATTACCGACTGAGTTGAGAGTCTGGAAACGATTTAGTCTCTTATGACCGTCTCCTCTCTCTAGTTTCTTTTCTCACATACACGTTTCTTCCTCCCCCCACACCACTAATACAATTATGGTTCAGATTTTTGGTTAAATCAAGATTCCATGTTGAAATGATTATTGTTCTCATGTGAGGCATCTAGGATGCCACAGTCACATTTCCTTTCTTGTTCTCCCTCTTTCTTTCCCACTTCATTCTTCTCCATGCGTCTATCTCTAAGCACACGTAGACTTGCTGCTGGTGCTGTAAATGCCTTCCATGTGGTCAAACGGGGCAGGTAATCTATTCATGACCTTTTCTTTTCCCTGGAGACATCCCTTTTGGAAACGCTCCCTTGTCTCACTCTACTTGGACTGATTTCTCTCTAGACCTAAGACAGAACTGTCATTCACATTTCCTTCACCACCATTCTGGGTATTTTCTTCCCTTTTTAACCTTTTATGGCTTTATTTTGATGGAATACATCAGTTAGTAGTTTCCTGAGAAATACTGTATGGAACATAAATGTTGTGAGACCCTGCACGTCTGAAAGGGTCTTCACACTGCATTCAAAGTGGACAAATGGTTTGGTGGTGTGATGGTTAATTTTTTGTCAACTTGACCCAGCCACAAGGTGCTCAGATATCTGGTCAATCATTGTTCTGAGTGTGTCTGTGAGGGTTTTTCCGGATCATACTAATATGTGAATGGGTACGCGGAGTAAAGCAGATTGCCCTCTCCATATGGATTGGCCTCATCCGGTCAATTACAGGCCTGAATAGAGTAAAAAGATTGAGTAAGAGAACACCTCCTGCTTGACTGTTGAGCTGGGAAACTGGTCTTTTCCAGACTTCAGATTGGGTCTGAGACGCTGGCTCCCCTGGGTTTCCAGCTGGCCGGCCGCAGATCTTGGGATTCTTAGTCTCTTAAGTCTGTGAAGCAACTTCTAGAGTAAACCTCTTTCTACAGAGAGAGCAGGTATACACACACGTATATGTATTTATATACACACATACGTATACACACCTCTGTGTGTGTGTGTGTGTGTGTGTGTGTGTATCCTACTAGTTCTGTTTCTCTGGAGAACCGTGGTTAATCGGATGGCTTATAAAATAACTAGTTGGAGGCTTTGTTTCATCTTCTTGGAAGCTTCTAGTATTGCTACTAAATCTCAAGCCACCTAATATAGAAACTTTATTTATAATCTGGAAGCCTTAAAGACTTCCTCATTTCCTGGGTCCTGAAATGTCATGTTAATATATCTTCATGTGAGTCCTTTTTTTTTTTTTTTTTTTTTTCATTCACTACACTGGGTATTCACTGAATCCTTTTATTTTTTTATTTTATTTTTTCACTGAATCCTTTTAGTTTGCGATTTTTAGTTCTAGAAATTTTCTTATATTCCTTCTTTGATACTTTCCTCCATTTCCAATTTGATTTTCTCTTTTTCCTAAACTCGTATAGATTTTGAAGCACTTGGACTGATACTTTTACTTTCTGACTTTCTGTCTCCTTTCTGATCTTTTTCTTTTCTTTCCTTTTCTTTTTGTCCTACTTTCTGGGAGATGCCTCATCTTTATCTTCCAATACATCTACTACACTTTCTATACCTGCCAATATATTCAGTTTTCCAAAATTTTTTTCTTGTTCTCTGAGTGACCTCCTCCGACCCTGCTCCAACTTTCTTCTTAATGGTCCCTGTTCTTCTCTTCTGGAAATAGTTTTTCTAATCTCCCTGAAGTTATTACAGTTTCTTTTTAATTTTCTTCCATTCCTCATTATCTTTGTTTCCTCTAAAGTCCTTTCTTTCTGTTTAAGTTTCCTTCCTGTTAGTGGATGTCCCTGCTTCTAGTACACGTGAGCTTACCCACTGCTGGGCTTCAGCTGTAGGCGGTGAGATAGCAAGCTTTTCCACGGCACTTTAAATGTTACTACCTGGATACCTTTTCTTCTGGCCATTTAGTTTCTCCAAAGACAAATCTTTCAGTCTCTTGCTTGGGAATATAAGTATGGCTGCCAACACTCTGGGAGCTAAAGAGGGAAAACGTGTGTGTGTGTGTGTGTGTGTGTGTCTGTCTGTCTGCTCTGGCAATCCTATATTCACACAATTCAGACCGGCTGTGCCAACTTTTCACGCTCTGTTGAGTGGGAGAGAACTTGCTGCCTCTCACCCTTCCAATAATCCTTCTGTTTTCAGTTCCATTCACATATACCTGCATCTCAGACAGACCTGGCCTCTGACCCTGGGCTTTTCTGGGTTCTGTTAAGTGGCTGGATTGTTTTTGATGACTTTCCTCACTGCAGGCATAGAATTCAGCATTTCTTGGTCACCTAGGCTAGTAACTCGTCAACCAACTATTCTTGTTCAATTCTGTTGACATCTCTTGTTTGCTGGTTTCTCATCTCTTTGTCCTTGTGGGTTTATGGCATTTTTTTTTATTCCTTTGCTGTCATTTTAATGGGTATTTAGGAAGGAGTAGAGATAAATGTTTAAACTGGAGCATAGGACTTTAGTCTGAATGTGCTCTTTGAACTTCATCAATCTGACTTTTGGGAAACAATGCAAGTTTACTGAAAGTTCCAACGTCTTAAACTTGTAACAAATACATCATCAATACCTGACAAAAAAGAAATGGGATGAAGCTTAAATTGAATAATTAGGATTGAGTAAACAATTCCATGTCTTTACACTTACCAACTTTGTAATGTATGCAGCCTTCCAAGTCCCCAACCGTGATCCAGCCTTGTTTCTTTTCTACTTCTGGGTCATTGTGTAGTATTCTGTTTCTTAACCATGAAAGATAGTAAACTCGTAGTTTGTTCTTCTTTCCTGTTGAAATAATAGAGCTCTAATTTCAAGCCTGTGACAGCCTTTTCTCTCAGTCCTTCCCTAAAATCTCTATTTTATTTTATTCATTTATTTTTATTTTATTTACAATCGTGTATGTGTGTGAAGGCACAAGAACCAGTGTGCCCGGCCTCATCAAGGTGTTGTCTATGCCAACAGTTCCAAGTGTTTTAGGCAAATAACCATTTTATAATTTGTCTTTACCTTCAGGTTGTTTCTTATTTGAGAAGCTGCTCTTTGTCTTCTCAATGCAAAGGGAAGTGTCGAGTCGAGACCTAATTCTTGCAATGGAAGAGTTGGTCAGAGTTCCAGAACATTCTAGATCTAATTACACAAAGGAGTGTCGATAACTGGACATTTTAACACGCTTATGTGTGACTGTCTCTCTCACCTTCTAACCTAACAGCATATGTTAATGGAGAGCCTCTTATTTGCCTTCTCTATTACTTTGAAGATGACAGCTGGGCGTAGTTTTCTTTTACCTGACTAACAACAACAACAACAAATTATAAGGAGAAAAAAGAAAAAATTTTAATGAAGGCAACCTAGGCTCAGCAGAGAACCCTGGACATGTTGATGATTCTGAGATCACTGAAGGAAATACCAAACAAAAATAGTAGAGAAAAGATATATGTACTTGGAAAAAACCCAAACGTGTACTTGGGAAAAAACAAAGTTCCCTTTGGTAAGGTGCTTCTGGAGTGAGGAATTTTATGATAAGAAAACATCTTAAAAATGTTGAGGAGTACACAGGAGCAAAATTTAATATACTCTGTAAGATGATCTGAGTATCAGATAAGAAAGCATTCCTTGGGGTGGCCCTTCCTTTTTCGGGGAGGCAGGGGAGATGGTGTCTCCTAGGTGATCATTTAGGCCTGTGGGTTATACTTCTTGGGTCCTTATTTTCCCTTGATTTCCCTTAGGCATCAAAAGATGTTTTATATTTTACAGATGTGATAAGAAGAAAATTTATTAAAGCATCGCACACTGGATTTGCAGGACAGTGCATTCGTGAGTTAAGGGAATCACTGGACAGTTACTATTCCTTTTTGTAGCCAGTGGCACAGAATTGATCCCAAGAGCTAGGCTGAGCACAAAGGTCATGCTTCCTCTTTCCTATGCCAGTGCAGATCTGATGGCAGTTCAAGAATCATTTGCTCCTATTTTCATTCTCTTCTTTTGCCATCTTTACTTCATGCTAAGAGGAGATGGTTACTTTTTTTAAGAATGGGAACATGTCATTCACAACAGAATGAAGCCTGAATGTGAATTTTCTGGTATCATTTCCACTCTTGGTAGGTGAGTGACAGATGTACTGTTTTAAATGGGATTTGTGAAAGGAAATTAGTGAAAGGGAATAAAGGGAAAGGAGAGAAAATGAGTGAAAATGTCAGTGAAGGAGACAAAACATGAGAGACTCCTAACTCTGGGAAACAAACAAGGGGTAGTGGAAGGGGAGGTGGGCGGGGGTTGGGGTGACTGGGTGACGGGCACAGGGGGGCACTTGATGGGATGAGCACTGGGTGTTATGCTATATGTTGGCAAATTGAACTCCAATTAAAAAAAATAAAAAAAATAAAGGATTTGGTAGCCTAGCAGTCAAGTAAGCAATTAACCAGAAAAGAAGACTATACCGAATTAAGCTCAAATGATAATACAAGAAGAACTTACTCAGCTAACTCTTTTTGGGGGAGAATAAAAAGAGATATAACTCTTGAGTATTCCGTGGAAAGGTAAAAGAAAGGGAATTGTAGCCTCAAGTGAAGGCAGCTTTTCAAAACAGAAATATGGCTCAAGAGCTAAAGTTTATTCAAGGTTGAACCCAGTAGCTCTGTGTTTTCTCCTTGTGAAACAATGGCAGAGTATAGAGCCATAGTTCTCAAACTTGGCTGCACACTGGAAACACCTCAGGAAGTATGATGACTATTGATACCTGGGCCGTACTCCCAGGGATTCCGACCCCCAGGTGTCGGGTGCATCCTGGGTTTTCCCCACCCATTCAAGTGGTTCTAACGTGCACAGGTGCAATGGTTTCATACTGGATGGGATGGGAAGGCAGGGGTATGAAAGGGTCATTGTTTATTAAACTTCAAACATCATCAGAAAGCAAAGAACTTTCAATAAACACAGACTCTTTTAGACTTTTATATTGTTAACTTGTCAGTAATAAGGCCTTCACTTCTGTGTCCCTAGTTCTTTAAAGTTCTTTTTTGGGGACCAGAAAGCTGCATAGCGTAGCGGTAACGATTCCCACATTCGAATCTCTTTGCAGACTCAGCCACCCAATGGGCCGACTGCATGTGCTGAAACATCAAAGGGGGATAACCTAGAACGGTTCTTGAGAGAAAAGAGACCAGAGAAGCTTCTGCTTACAACATTTTCCACTCTGGGAGGCCTACATTTTGATACTCTCCACCCAAGAACAGGTAGCAACGACCAGAGCTCAGACCTCAAAAGCTCCTTGCTGAGTCCCGGCAGAGGTTAAAGCCCTATGAACATCCAGCCTTTGTGCTACGTCGGCCTGATTCAGAGATCATGGAGAGGTGAGAGGTTTCCCTTTGGAGGGTGGGATCCCCAGGTGATCTCACTCTGGCCCGCCTGCTATAATTCCTCGTGTCACTGTTAGCCAGGAGGACAGCGCTTGCTGCTTTTTCAGAACGAAGGTGATGGCCTTTCCCACCCGTGCAGACCCGGAGGTCTCGGTCATCCCAGTAACATACCTGATATTGTCACCAGGACATTCAGTCCCTCTAGCACGTCCATCTGCTGAAATCGCCTCCGGTTGATCAGATTATAGACTTTGCCTTGCCCACTCCGGTCCAAAAGCATCAGGCCATTTTCTGTTCCCACCAGGAGGTTTACACCTGCAAATTGAAGGAGCACCTCGAGACTGACTTTTTATGTGCTTCAACCTTCTGCATGCGGGGTCCCTGTAAAACCTGAGAAACTGTGGCTTGTTAATATAAACTAATGGGCAAGTAGGTACCACAGTAGGGAGTGAAGAAGTAGAGGCTCTGTCACGGTAATTAAATCACTGTCCCTCCGGTAATAAAATTAGTTTTCTTTTATAAAGTGGTAGCAGCATTCATTACATCCGGCCGTTTACTACCTGGTGTAGAGTCCTTCTCACGAGAAGCCTTGGGCACAGCTGCGACACCGGCACAACTAGCCTTCCCCAAGGTTTATCCCCACCCCTGTTCATGCAGGGATTTCGAGCCTACCCGCCCTCAACATACAGCAGGGTGCCCTATTTCCATACCCCACTGGAAGGAAAGCCCTTCCTCCTTCTGACACCAAAGCTCACCTATGTCTCATACCCTCAAGTTTCTGCTGTCAGGGAAATGACAAGCCACTGCAAGTGGAGGTGTCAACAGCCTGGGAGTTGTAAGGGACCACCAGGTATCTAAACCTCATGCAGCCCATCTCTCGTACCCTGTGCACTAATCCCTATTACAAAATCCCTAGCAGGTTAGTGGTCTTGTCTGGATAGCTGCCATCCTAAAAATTCGTCACTAGGCAAATTAACTCCACCTCCCTTGCCCTGCAACACACATGCACATTGAGGGTCCACTGTGCAGTGGACTATATGAACATGAACTCTCTAACTTCTCCTGCTTTTGTACATCTATTTTTTGATTAACATAAACGTCTATTCTTTTGCCCATAAATTATTCCATATTAAACATGACCATCTCGTCTCCTATCTCTTCCCCAGAGGACATAGCCTTACTCCCTCCATTGCATCTCCCATGAAATGGTTTCCAGCCTTCATCCACGTCTCTGAGCATCTCAAATGCTTTTAAAACTGTGGTACCCCAAAGTAGGCCGAGTATTTTATATTTTAGATGGATACAGATGGGTCCTTTTTTAATCAGTATGTAATGTTTGCAGTAACACGGACCAGGACTTTAATAGAATCTCATCCTACCTAAACTGCGTTTGAGGTCAGCTACAACCTGTGCATCATTTTCATAGGAACTTCTCAACTAAAAGGGAAAGTTCATCATGGGCTGCCCTTTTCGAAGTTTTATCTTGCCACGGCTGGCGTTCAACAATTCACTCAAATATGCTAGGCTGGCTTTTCCAGCTGTGAAATGGGGGGTGATGCCCTCATTCCCCTTACAGGATGTCGTACAGCTCACAGAGGTAGACTGTGGGGCGCGTCACACAGTGCTGGGCACACAGTGGGTGTGTAGTAAGTGGTAGCTTGTACTGTTGTTGACTTTAGTCCATCACTATTATGTGATGAGGCCATTTCGAGTCTCATCTTCATTATCTTGGGCATTAGGTTATCAGTTCTTGCTACATGTAAACCTGCTCTTGATCTCTCCTGAGGCCAAGACAGTCCGGAGTTGGGACTCTGACATCCATGATTCAGCCACTGCTCTGCTGATGGGAAGCTGCACAGGCTTCTAAGGTTTGAGGGTTGATGTATTAAAGAGTGGTAAAAAGCAGCACTTACCCCAGAGAGCTGCACAAAGTATTTCTGAGTTGAATCGTTTCTTATATTTTCTGATTTCCGGTGTGTCGCTATGAGGTCGAATGTTGGTTGGATTTACGTTCACCACTGAAATCTTTCTTGCTTCATTGAGTTTGGCCTGTTCTTGCCTAAGAAGTTCGCTAGTAAATAGAGCTTTGAGAAAAAGAATCAGAGAAGTCAGTGGCACCTTAGAAAACAACCAGTGGAGATACGGAGAAGGCACTTCAAAACACTACGATTTCTCCTTGTTTAGTGGGCATTACAGGAAAGGCAGAGAAACTCTGCAACTATGCACATTTTATACGTTGTTTTAGTAGAAGACAGTGTAAGTCATTCACAGAAGCGGTATTTTATCCATTAGTAAAACAGACTTATGGGTATGACTTGGGTGGTTTAGAGAACAGGTATTCATCTCACAAAATTGAACACAACTATCTCCTGTATCATACACAGGAAAGATCTACTTTTTAAAATTCTGTATCATCAACTGACAAACTGGCCGAAGCTTCCCCTGATGATTAGTGAGTTGCGTTAAGTCCAAAAAGCAAGACTCTGCTCTATATCAGCCAGACCCGGGTGGTAGGAAGCACACACCTAGAACTCAACACAACTCGACACGCACTTATTAACTGCCTACTGCGTGCACAGCATTGTACCCAGAAATTGCTTTTGAGAAGTATGCGGTAAGTTTGTAGGTCTCTTAGGAACAGCTTTTCCCAGGGCCCCTGGATACCTCTGGGTTCCTACCAGAAGCAAAATAGGAGAGATGAAAAAAAAAATGGAGAGAAAGAAGTTGTTTTAGAAATCCTACAAAAATAATAATGATAATAATAATAAAAATAATAAAAACAAAACAAAAGAAGAAAGACTTCCCTTTAAGGCAGGCCCTAAGCAGAAAATGGCTTAACTACTGGGCCAATAATTAATTTCTTTACCAGGTCGTACCGGACAGGAAAACCAAGCTGTTTCTAAAACATCCGGGCCTTCTTGCTTACCCGCAGCTGATGATTCTTCATCTTCTTCATCTTCATCAGTGGGAGATGTCTGATATACTCTGGGATCCACAAAGGGGGTGAAGGAGGCCTTCGTGCTGCTCCCCATACCGTACTAAACGATATGCAAGAGGATTAAGAAAAGCAGATAAATAAATTCTACGAGGATGAACAATACTAGGAATACTTAGCTTGGACTTTAAAGTGATAACAGATTCTTCAATTGTCCTCCTGGTCTTGGTTGCCAACAAGCCATTGTGCCTCTACAGGGCCTCATTAGTTGTCAGACTGCAAGAGTTGCAGTGAGCAAATTATTACATTTGGGACAATATGGTAAGATGGCCGTGGCCATAGAACTCCTCTCTCCCTTGAATAAGAACAACCTCACATTGACCATATAGTCTCAAGAAAGGCTGGCAATAAACGAAGTGACCACATAGTAGCGTTTCATCCCATACAGTCTGCCGAAGGCTCCCTCTCGGAGCCTCTGGGCCCTTGCACACTAGCCTGGTGATGTGAGTGGATTGGTATTGGCCTTAAGAAGCCTTAAAATCCTCAATTCAGGGGCAATTTCACCCAGGATGGAGTGTTTCTCCTTCCCGGAATGGTTTCCTTAAAAGGATACTTATATTTACACGCCTTATTTAGGGACTTCATGAAGATACTAGGTTTGTAGACAGTGCACACCTCGAGGGCTTACTGAAAAAATAAATCTCAAGGGCTTGCATGGCACCGTAAAGACATGAAGTCAAAACAGACTAGGGAACAGCAAGCTAAACATCAGGGCTTCATGGGGCGGGAGTCCGTGTTTCAGCTTTGCCAAAGAAGGTATAGTAACTACCTCCCCAGCCTGTCTGCCCTCTCTCTTCCCTCTCCCATACTCAAGTCCTTTTTAATATCACAAGCAGACCTGCATTCAACATTAAGAAATATCTCCTTTTAGGACAAATGTCTTTAACTAAACTTTTAGTTTTCAGCCTTGTTTTTAGGTTTCTATTTTAAAATAAAAACATCTCAAGACCCCTCAACACATATGGAGAAAATCACAAAGATCCAACCTGATTTCATTCAAGATTCCCCCCCCTCCACCTTATGAAATCAAAACCCTTTCATCCTCTACAAGGTAGGACTCCTTCCAAATAGAGGGCTTTCACATGCATCTTCTCCTTTGATCTACAGAAGTCTGTGAAGGAGGTGGCACAGGTACTGATATTCCCACTTGGAGCTGGAGCAGCAGCAGAATTTGAACCAGCAGCAGAATCATTTGAACGATTGATTGGACAATCCCACTGGGGTTCTTTTTGGTACCACGAGAGGGGTTCAGGCAAAGAAAATCTGCCCACATGGCGTGAAGTCGCCAGAGGAAATGCCGTGCCTTCCAATGCACCTGTGTGCTCTTTCCCTCGGGGTAAACAAAGCTCATCTGCTCAATAACTTCAGAACTCAAAGGGTATATCATAAAAAGTGGGTGGACGGCATCAAAAACACCAGTGCATATGCTTCATAATTCCCTTCGGGGCCTATGTGTGATTCACAGGACTATTCATGAAACATGACCAAGCACCATGAACTCATCCACTGGTCAAGGCTGGGTAACACCACCCACGAGCACTTCCTAACAGACTATTTGTTCAGGCTGTTTCCAGGGACTGTTTCTATTCAGGAAAGAGAGCATCTTATTTCTCCTTTCCCCATACAATTTGGAGTTTAGGAGGAGGAACGGTTGGAGAGCCTATTCATTGATTTCTGTCTTTCAATTAACAAATAATTTCAACCTCATTTTAGGTCAAACTTAGGTTGACTAAATTAATGTAAACATGACCCTCAACTATTGGCCTTGGGATCTCTATATGCTGAAGTTTCTATCACTGGCCCGGAAATTAGGAAATCCCAGTTCTACTTAGATTTGTCACAAACCAGTTGTGGCCCTGGGCAAGTCACTTAACCTCTCTGAGCCTCAGTATTCTCATCTGTAAAAACAGATTTTGGGCCAGATGGTACCTAAGAACTTTTTATCGCTGTGCTTCTATGATTTTCCTCTAGTTAAGTATTTGCATAAGCAGTTCTATGATAGATACCAACTGAACACATTTCAGGGAGCTTAGCAAGGCCTCATTCTTGAAGCTGGCAGGGTTTCAGGCCCCCTGCCCCTGCACCCTCGGGAGAGAACAGAGCTGTCCTGGCTGTTGCCCAGCACCTACTTCAGTCCCGGATTCCATCTCCTGGGAATGGGTGGACACGCGCCCCAGGCCCTCGGTTGGTGTCCCCGCTGGGGAATGGCTCTGCTGCACCAGGTCTGGGAGGTTGATGTGGCCGGCGAAGCCATTGCTGTCACTGTGGCCAGATCGCTTCTTCTCTCCAGATGTCTGAGGGGGCATAACACATGAGGAGCATTAGAGAGAGGGCAAGGGTCTCAGAGCCACATCCCTCCTCACACAGGACAGGCATAGTGGTCTCCAAATGGACCCGCTGGGCTGTGTGGGATGATAACATTCACATTTCTATTTTATTAAGAAAATAAAGAAGACGTTAAACTTTGTTAATATTTAGTATCTGGACTGACCATGGGGCCTTTTGCTTCTGCATGAGGAGCAGTCAGGGGTCACACGGATGTGGGGGTTCCCTGTGGGAAGAAGGGAATGCCATAGGCAGGTGGAGGGACTAAGCATCAGAGGTGTGCACCTGCCCGATCCCCTCCTGCAGTATTCGTGCGTACACACCAGCTGACCAGATTTGCAGATTATATTACCAGCTCACAATGACACAAACCCACAAGACATATACATGACCTGAGATATTGCTGAAACGAACAGGCTGAGATGAGATGATGCTAATAATCCATGTACCATGGGCCCCAAGAAAATTCAGAGACAGTATCAACCCAACTCCCAGGGCTCTTTGTCAGTCGTGAGATCAAAACAATGATTAATTAATCAGATCTGACAGGAGTTACCAAAAAAAAAAGTATTGAAATGATCTACAAATTATTTGAAACTACAAGTCTATGTCTGCTATCATTTTATTTATTTTTTATTTTTTTATTGGAGTTCAATTTGCCAACATATAGCATAACACCTAGTGCTCATCCCGTCAAGTGTCCCCCTCAGTGCCCGTCACCCAGTCACCTCAACACCCCGCCCATCTCCCTTTCCACCACCCCTTGTTTCCCAGAGTTAGGTGTCTATGTCTGCTATCATTAATCTGAATCTCCCACAAGCAATTATGGTGCCTTGGGGTAAAAAATGGAAGTCATCGTGACTAGCAAAGAATTTGAAATGTTTATAGCATCCCTTTTTCATGTCCTTTCCAGGATTACATACATATAACATATGCAGTAGGACACATGCATGATTTGTAAGTAAATACACTGTAATTATGGGGTCCTTGGGTGACTCGGTTGGTTAGGCGTCTGATTCTTGATTTCGGCTCAGGTCAGGATCTTAGGGCTGTGAGATCAAGCCCCTGCATCATGCTTAAGATTCTCTCTCTCTCTCCCTCTGTCCTTCCCTCCTCTCCCCCCCAACTCCTGTGTCTGTGCTACCTCTTAAAAAAAATACACTGTAATTATGTGCGATGGCCCTAAAATTTTTACTGACGGGACTGTATGACCTAAGAATTTGGAAACCACTGCTCTGGAGAGCAAAGCCTCCCAAAAATCCCAGGGAAGAAATACAAGATTAAAAGACAGCTCTGCTTCCGTAGGCCTGGCTTTCCAATTTATATTTATGCAACCAGCCCACCGAGGTTTCTTAGAGCAGACCTGACTTAGTAATGAGTCCCTTCTTCCCTTCTCCTTCCTTCCTTCCTTCCTTCCTTCCTTCCTTCCTTCCTTCCTTCCTTCCATCTAATATTACTGAGTGTCCACTAAGGGTAAAGCATTTTGCTGAAGGTGGAGGAATCAGCCAGGATCAGAGGACGCAGATAACACTCCATGCCTTCTTTGGGGCTGGCTGGCATGCGCTCACCAGCCTGGCTTCCCCCATCCAGAGCCTGTCCTCGTCTTGCAATGACCACTCTGGACCTGCTTCTGGTGACAAGTGAAAGGAGGCACTTTCTGGGGGAGGGGATGGGGTGCATGGAATGCATGTTACCAGGGAGCTTGAGAAATAACTGGAAGGCAGAGGCACCCTCTGTTTCTTGGCAACCTGCTCGTGGCCTGCAAGCTGCCCCAGCAAGGGGTATGCTCTGGGTTCAGTCTGTCCTGGTACCCACCCGCAACGTGTACTAGTGCCTGCTCTCTGAACGGAACACTTTGTCTTCTAAATAACATTGATGGGGTTCGGTCCTGATTCATCTCACCGTCTCCAATTTTATGTGTACTGGGCAGCTTTTCCTTCCTTCTAACTTCTGTTCAAAAGCTGAAAGCCTTTTTTTTTTTTTTTAACATTTCCCCCCAATCTCCTAGTAGCTATAAATCACACATGGTGCCTCTTTAGAGTTTTATGGGCTCTGTTCTCTCCCCAGCATTCTGACTCGGGCCAAAAATGGATGCAGACACACTGCTTATCAAAGAAAGACCTGAAGAGGCTAAGGGGAAAAGGTCCCGACAGTGAGAAGCCTGAAGGAATCCAGTGGTGACCCCTGAATCTCCTGACCCCGACTCTGAGTCATCAGCCTTTGGTCCATGCAGTCAGCTCCTTAGAATCAAATACCTTCTGTGCACCAGGCACTCTGCTGGGAATGCAGAAATCAATGAACCACAGCCCTGCCCCTGAGGACCTCCTTACAGAGCCCAACAATTTCTAGACACTTTCCGCTCTCGCCATTCCCATGGGGGCGGGCACTAAGATGTGCTGAGCAACACACGTGTCTGGGACGATGCCAATGCTCTGGGTATGTTATTCCACACCGTCCTTAAGATAACACCACGGGCTAGCTTCCAGTATCCTCATTTGCAGATGGAAAAACTGCAGCACAGAAAATTCCGCTGACTTGCTCCAAATGACACAGGTTCTAAGTGCTGCAAACGGGGGGCCGCTGCCACACCAGGTGGTTCTGCTCTCGGCCACCGTGACTGGACTTGGCGTGGACACTGAGCCAAGCAGGATCAAGTTCCCTTTTGCGTTTAGTGTTGGGTCTGAGGACACTGGTCAGTGTGTGCGGGGCAGCTGCACCGGGCGGGATGTGGCGCATATCTTGCAGCTGGGGGGCAGGTGGGGGAGGTGAGAGCTTGTGCCTGCAAAGGGAGAGAAAGCGGGTCTGTGGAGTAGAAAGAACAAAGGAGAAATTGGAGGAAAGAGAAATGAGGGAAAGGAGACACGGGCATCGAGGAAAGCAGAGATGAGGGTAAGGAGAGACAGGCCGTGAGAGAGCCAGAGATGGGCGCAAGATTGCTGCCTGGGCTCCTCACCCGTTTTAGTTTCTGGTTCCAGCCCTGCACAGAGTCCCGACTTACTCTTTGCCTTTGGATTCCGTGTATGAAATACCTCGGAATTTTTATTTCCCTCTCTCTGACACCTACCCCACCTCTTCTTCCCTTGTTTAAGTTGTGTTAAGCAGATTCTTTTTCCTATTACTTCCTATTACCAGCTGGTCAGTAAGAAAGATGCTATGGACAGAGGCCCGTGGAGTCCCAAGAGAGGCTTCAAGGAGAACGAGGCTGAGCCAGGCCCACAGGGACCTGCTGGGCAAGGAGTGGGCAGAGGGGAAGGAGGAAGGGGGAGTAGCTCTTCTAGTAGATGAGGCCCTGTGGACAAAGTGGGGGATGACAGCTGGTGTGGTGTGTTCTAGAATTAGAGTAGGAAAAGGTCTTATAGGGCCATAGGACAGGGAGACAGAAAACCACGGGGCCTGGGCGTGCACCAAATTTGTGTATCTTGGCGAGACTGTGGATAGTAGAGCCAGTATGTTCCTCTGGAACCATCCTATCCACTCACGAGAATGCTGACTTGAGTGAGTTCTCCTTGATGTCCATGTTGGGGGACTTAACAATAGCACCCTCCAAGCTAAGTTCGATTACGAGTTTTTCTTTTCTTACTGTTTTGTCAGGGACATACTTTTATTTGCAGTCAACGTTTGAACACCTCTCCTTTTAATGGATTCCAACGCAAGGTTTGTTATCTTAAAAGTCCACGTTTGGTTAAGGTGGAATTTAGAAACTGAGAGACGAAGAGATTTGGGGCCCTCAACAGATCAGATGAGTGCTGTTTTCAAAGTGATCGGCTGCGGTCGCGGAACACTGGAGTGCTTTCAGCAACGTGGAGCCATTCGGGTACCTCGGGCCACGCAACTGAAAGTGTGTCTCCTGATAATCTTCGTCAAGGTCCTGACTCTGTCACAAAGACTCAAGCAAATTTTGAACCGCATCAGAAATCAGAGTCCCTTTGTGTGGAGTCAGAGTAACGCATTCCAAAACATTTCCCCCCAAGTCTTCCCAGTAGCAAGTCCTAGTGATAGCAGCCTTCTACACGTCCACTGGAATTACCCCCTCACCACACTGGGAGATTCATACACCAGCACTACGCAATGCCAACTGCACGGCCAAGTCCACTTCTTATTTCAGGCTTGCATGACAGGACTCTTTAAAGCCTACTTCAAAGATTCAGCAAGGCCATATAATGAGATTCTAGCAAGTTGCTCTGGGAACTACTCCTCCAGTGATAGCCCTACTGCCAATTATTATTTCAAAGGCCTTATTCATCTCAAAACTACAGTTCTTTTCTTTCTTGGGGAGAGCAAAGCCTGCCATTACAGTTTCCCAAGCTCTCCTGGCTGAAGAATGACAGACGATGTACATTGTTTCAGAGGCAAGAGTGGGGAGTGATAACAAGCAAAAGGAGAACTTGATTCTGTGGTGACAGTGAGATAAAATAAAATAGAGCTGACCCTTGCAAAACACGGAGGCTATGGGCACTGACTCCTGGTGCAGTTGAAAATCTGAATAGAACTTTGGACTCCCCAAGAGCTCAACTACTTTAATAGCCCACTGTTGGCTGGGAGCCTTATCAATAACATAAACAGGTGATGAACATGTATTATACCCTGTGGTTTTATAATAAAGTAAGCCAGGGAGAAGAAAAATGTTATTAAGAAAATCATAAGGGCAAGAAAATACCAGTATCAGACCGCATTGAAAAAAACCTCCGCATGGAAGTGGATCCACGCAGTTCAGACTCGTGTTATTCAGGGGTCAACTGTGTTCACATTTATTATTAACTCACCCAATCCTCTAAGTCATCCTATGAGTCATCTACCATTTACGAAATTTTATACATGATAGCACCGACCCACGGGGACATCAGGTTACCAGCCATTACTTTCCTTCTAAGCAAAGACTTGGTGTCAGACTTGCATGGGGACGATGAAGTGAGAAAGGAGAGAAGACAAATTCTGATTCGTCAAGGCCCTTCTGGTTGGCACAGACGCTGTGGGAAGTGCTGCCTGTGGGAGGACATGTGCAAGGGAACACACGCCCCCCCCCCCCAACTCAAATGAGATGATGTGCCTCGAATTTAAAAAAAAAAACAAACCCGAATCGTACAGAGTGCTAAGGTACATTTTCGAGTAGATCTGCATATTCGTTTGTTCTTTCATCAAAATAGCTTAGCAGCCTTTTTAATGTTGACTTAATTAGGTAAGATGATATCACCACTTCTTGGAACTTCTAAGCATTTTCTCCATAAAATCCACAAGGATAAAGCCATGGGGGGAGGAGGCATAACAAGGGCCTCGGATGCTACTGAGAGAGACCATTCATTTCTGTTTTCCTGCTGTAGGAAACATCTAGATTTGCCAGTTTTATATCCTCAAGCTCAAAATCTATATTCCGATTTGCATTGCTCCGACTGAAGAATTGGGATTAACGTAATTAAGTCCCACTTGCAGAAGCTTTGAAGGGTACGGGAAAGAAGGTGGTGGACCACTGAAATCACTCAGCCATTTAGAAGCACAGGGTCCCCCTGTCCCCAGGCCCCATTCACATGATTCACAAGGCTTAGACTACGTGCCGGAAGCTTTCTCCAAGAAAGCTCTAGTATTGAAACCTTAAGAAATGCACTTCCTCTACACGGTTTTTACACCAGCTTACCTCTCTTATCATCAAGGTTCCTTCTCTTGAAATACTGCTGCTGAAAGTGTCCGCGTGAGAGGTCTCCAGCCCATGCGTGCCGACCATTCCCACATTGTACTGCTCCGTGCTCCCGGGGGCTCCCGTTGGTCTGAGATGGGAAGGAACAACAGAACCAGAGAGGTACGTTTAGGGAACGCCTGCTTCTTGGTTACTTGAAGTCTTTCAAGTTGTGGTAAAGAAGCATATGTAGCATAAAATTTAACCATCTTCACCATTTTTAAGTGTACATTCTAGTTCATTTGTAATGTGGCACTGATGCCTGAACAGGTGCCCCACTTTTGCAACATCCCGCCTCCACCTCTTCTGCACACAGCAGCCCTCGTGAGCAAGCTTCAGACTCCCCAAGAACAGAACTGCTGCCGTTGGGGTCAGAGCCGGTTTCTGAGCCCTCCTGACTCCTTCTTCGACCTGCACTTTGCACATGCTGTTCCCTCTGCCTGGAAAACTGTCTCCCACCCTGGGTCTTGGCTGGTTGCCTCTCATCTCAATGATACCTAAGTACCGATGCTTCATCTTTTTTTTTTAAAGATATTATTTATTTATTCATGAGAGAGAGAGAGAGAGAGAGAGAGAGAGAGAGAGAGAGAGAGAGACGCAGAGACACAGGCAGAGGGAGAAGCAGGCTCCATGCAGGGAGCCTGATGTGGGACTTGATCCCGGGCCTCCAGGATTGTGGGGTCCTGCCTGGGCTGAAGGCAGACACTAAACTACTGAGCCACCCAGGGATCCCCGATGCTTCATCTTAAATGATAAATTGCCTTGAGCAGTCTTCTCTCAGCACCTGGGTCTTATCCTACCAACCCCTCTTCTTTCTCTTCATCCTCTGTCCTATTAGTTCTCATCACAATTTGTGATTCTTTGTCTTTTTGAGTCTCTTGTAACTTTCTCCTTCTATCTCATTAGAATACACGCTTGCGGGTGCTACACTATATGTTGGCAAATTGAATTTAAATTAGAAAGAAAGAAAGAAAAGAAAGAAAGAAAGAAAGAGAAAAATGAAAGAAAGAAAGAAAGAAAGAAAGAAAGAAAGAAAGAAAGAAAGAAAGAAAACACATGCTTGTGAGGGCAGTCCCGTCCATCTCTGCTCATCACTGCTATACCCAGTGTGGAGCTGGGCACAGAGTAGGAGTGCAACACGCAATCATTTGATACATGGATTTATACTATTTATGGAGTAGAAATATCAATTAAGGGCATTCTGGCTTCCTAGGACATCCATCAGCTACGCTGTTTACCAATATGTAGTACTTTTTAAATCTTCTGTAATTGTTCCACAGTGTGCTAGATTTATTTCCAGTTTGTTTTTTGTTGTTTTTAAGATGTAATGGAGAAGGTAACAGGACCTTGACATATGCCATGAGAGCAGAGACTGATGCTGAAACATTTCGCATGTGTCTTGTGGCACAGACCATAGCATCAAGGGAAACTGAGAACCAGGTCATGTGGTTCATCCACAGGATTTCAGTTTCCAGTGTGGACCTCACTGACATGCTGTAGCAGCAGCTGCCTCTCTTTCAAAGTGGGTTTATTAAAAATAAAGGCATCAAGCCCTGTTTATCTCATTAGATACATTTTTTTTAAAAAAATTTCTGGTCTCTGGGATCCAATCAAAGTCCAAACATTTGATGAAATATTCAATTCAAGAAAGAAGAAACATGCCAGTTTTCTGACATCTCTGGGACAGAGAAGACATATGTTAAAGATCCAAACAAAGGGATCCCTGGGTGGCGCAGCGGTTTGGCGCCTGCCTTTGGCCCAGGGCGCGATCCTGGAGACCCGGGATCGAATCCCACATCAGGCTCCCGGTGCATGGAGCCTGCTTCTCCCTCTGCCTGTGTCTCTGCCTCTCTTTCTCTCTCTGTATGACTATCGTAACTAAATAATAATAAAAAAAAGATCCAAACAAAAAGATGAGAAGATGAAAAGATGAGTCCAGACTAAAAAGATGCAGAGCAAGATGCTTACTTCAAAACTACTAAACTGGAGCAGTAGATGGACTGAATCTAAATATCAGTTAGAACCGATGTGTTTGGGAAGAAATTTCCAAAGAAGCAATTTCAATATTGCATTCCCAGAAAGGAGACGTTAAGAGAGTTCAGGAGGCATGGAAAAAGATACTGCTGCAATGAATGCCTGAGAGCCAGGTTTCCCACTGTTGGAGTGGGAATTTCCAGGTAAGGAAGTGGAGGGAGCTAGAATGAGCCATGTGTTAGTGAATCAGAGTTGAAGAAAGCAGGATAAACCTTTTATTTAATGTAACACAGATGGCTATATATGGAAACATTTGTAGATATGTGTACATGATGGGTTCAATATACAGGTATACATTTCCTTGCTGTGTCAGCTGAGAGGGCCTAAAAGAAACGATACACTGGTAGCAATGAGCACACCTAGGGTCCAAATCTTGGTTCTGACATCATTCTTTAGTAAAAGGAATCAAGGCTTCCAGGAGAAGTGGCTTATTCCAGGACCGGAACAAGGAATACACAAGATAAGCCTGGAGCATCGTACAGTGTCAGAAGGTAAGGAAGTGCTTGATTGGGATGTGTCAGCCATAGGGGTATAGGTGCCAACTGAAACAGCCTCCAATGGTTGAAGATCGTGTAAGCAGCAAAATGAAGTACGGGATCATAATCCAAAGTGCAAAGTAAATATCTAGGAGTCTATATTGATATAAATAAATGAGTTAATAAACAGAGAAGAGATAAATCTCTGCAGAATGAAATTATGTAGAGACTCCACCCTAAAGGAACGTAACTCCTCACTCCCTAAGTGCCAGCTGTGGACTCTGGCTTCCTTCCAAAGAATACAGTGTGGAAAGCGGAGGAAATTACATCACAGCACAGAAACCTGACAAGCATTACCTCTCGGCCAGATGATCAAGGTTAATGCCAAGAGTCCTAAGTCACATGTAGAGCACATACTCTTGATATGAAGTGATAAAAATGACATGTGACCTCTGTCATCTTTCTCCCTCCCCCAAATCCATGACCTTAGTCTGATCATGACAAGAACATCAAATAAATTCCGGGAGAGGGTGATAGTCCTAGTTGGTACTCCTCAAAGCTGTTACATTCATCAAAAACGAAGGAAGTCTGAGAACCTGTCACAGCCAACAGCAGGCTAAGTAGATATGGTACCTGAATGACTAAATGTAACATGGTATGCTGGACGGGATCCTGATACAGAAAAAAGAACTTTGGGTAAAAACTAAGGAAATCTGAATAAACTATTACAATATATTGATTTTGGTTGATTACTTGTAACATTTGTACATACTGATGTACAGTGCTTATCATAGGGATAAGTGGGGACAGTGGGTAGGAGCAGTACCAGGCGAACTCTGTACTATCTACTCAATTTTCTTGTGAATTTAAAACTGTCCTAAAAAAAAAAATAAAGTTTATCAATAATAAAAGAATGAAAAAAAAGGCATAGTTAAAAAAAAAAACACTAAGGCCAAAACAACTAAAACATTTTATAGTTCAAGTAATCCTTTGTTCTAAAAAGTATTTCCAAGATCGAGCCTGGGTGGAAACAACTCGTTGTCCAAATTCTTATAAAGAAAACAAAAGAAAACAAAACACTTCCACTGATTAGAAGGAAATCTATAGGAAATTTACTGTGATGAGGTCACAGGTTTAGAACAATAATTTCCTCTAATAGTATTTGTCAAAGTGTTGCTGTAGGTACTCATTTAATTCAATTCCACACACATTTATTGAACACCGGCTATGTGCATGGCCCTTAGTGTGGCATTGGGAGGTGGATGTAAAAGCTGAGGAAGGGCACCTGGGTGGCTCGGCTGGTTGAGCATCTGACTTGATTTTGGCTCAGGTCATGATCTCAGGGTCACGAGATTCAGCCCCCCATCAGGCTCTGTGCTGGGCATGGAGTCTGCTTAGGATCCTCTCCCTCTCCCTCCCCCTCCCACCCATGTGTTCTCTCTCTTTAAAAAAAAAAAAAAAAAAGCTGAGGAAGACACGGCTCCTGAAACTACAGAGGTGAGCACGCCGAAGAGGAGCATCAAAACATGACGCGAATACTCAAATACAAGGCAGGACCTAAGTGCGAATGCAAGACAGAGGGAGAGGTCATTGCAAGAAAAGGTGCAACACTGGAAAAATACAAAGCATCATTTGTAAGAACTGATAGGTGGGTTTGGATTGAAGCATATGTTGATGCAGTCAAGAGCCCCAGGGATGAAAAGGGTCCTCCGGCACCAGGATTTGGTGTAACAAGAGCCATGCTTCTAGGACACTAATAAGACCAGAGCTGGAAAAATGGACAGGAGGGCAGAGAGGACCACAGGCAAGGGGCGGGGGGAGCACTACAGCAGCCTGGGAGGGCAACGGGGTCAGAACCATGGCTTCCCAGTGATAACAGAAGGAAGAGAACACACACTATGTGGCTTTAGTGTCCACACTGCATGCCCTAAGACTACGCAGCTCAAGGGCTAGGCCAGCAGCAGAGGGTCCTAATGGTTAGATGTGCCTCCCCTGTACTGTTCTGAAGCAGGCGCAGGCACTTAAGGGAAGATGCTGATTCAAGAGGATGCTTCTTCAGCTTGCTTGATCCGATGCAAATCACCTTGGCGCACTTTTCCTTCCCTTCCTCCTGTTTTATAAAGCTTTTGTTTTTTTTCCTGCTTATAAAAATAGTAAATGCTCATCATAAAATTGGGGCTCTACATAAAATAAAAGCCACTCATAGTTGTATAATCCCGAGGTAATCACTTTTATAATCTTAGTCTATTTCCCTCCACCCGTTATTTTTCTATGCACGAGGCATAGGGCAACAGTGCCGTTGGTTAGTCAGGGAAATAATCTTGGTTATGTGCACGCTTATAGGTTCCACCCTATACTATAAATATGGAACCAGCACCATCCATTAAAAAAAAAGTTGTTGCTTTGAGCAGTAGGGTCTACAGTTGTTTGTCTGAATGCCTGGGCTCCATTTCTGAGAAACTCTTTTAATATATTTCATGGCAGTGAGCTGTGCTGTCATATGTATATTTAAGTCTGTGTGTGTGTGTGTGTGTGTGTGTGTGTGTATACACACACAAAATATGCCATATATATGTATGTGTGTGTTTATTTTAGATATATGGATCTAAAAATATGTGGCACAGAATGTAAAGGCTTATCTTAACAATAGAAAATAAAAATGATAAGAATATATATAAGAAGTGTTCTAACTCTGAAATACCCTATTCTGAAAAAAAAAAACAATTGTTTTATAGTGATTTTTTTAACATTGTGAAATTTCTTAGGTATACAACTATGCTGCTATAGCAGAACAGACTGCATTTATTTTATACTCACAAAAATGCATATATTTACCAAACCGGAATAAACACATAGACACCCACAAACTTGTATCCTGCCTTGTTTCTGAGTGTATCTCATACCCAATTAAGTATTTTAAATGTTCTTTAGTGGGTGGTCATTTTCTTCTAAAATTTACCAATTCTTGGGGTGCCTGGGTGGCTCAGGGGTTGGGTACCTGCCTTTGGCTTAGGTGGTGATCCCGGGATCTGGGATCAAATCCCGCATTGGGCTCCCTGCATGGAGTCTGCTTCTCCCTCTGCCTGTGTCTCTGCCTCTCTCTCTCTCTCTCTCTCTCTCATGAATAAATAAATCTTAGAATAAAATAAATAAAATAAAATAAAATAAAATTTACCAATTCTTAAAGAGCCATGTCAACTTTTGCCTCCATTCAGTGATAGCCCATTTATTATTTCTAAAGAAACAGATCCTCTGAATTGCTTTACCAGTGTCTACTCTGTCCTTTTTACAAATCATCTTGCTGAAATGATTTCTCTCACACACGGCACTGATCATGTCACGTCCCAGCCCAGGAGGCCTTCAGTGGTCCCCAACGGCCCCATGATAAAGCGCATGCTTCTTAGTCTGGTTTCACTAGACCAGGCCACCCCCCTCCCTGCCTCCATGCACCCTGTATCCCTACCAAAGCCAACCGTCTGTGCCTTTACTTCAATTCCCCCTTGCCTGAGATTCTAATATTGCCGCACACTCCCTCTATTTTGATGAGTTGTGAACATGTCTTTCTTCTGGATTGGGCTATAAACTCTATGAAGCCAGGACTTGCATTTTCAGTTCAGTGCAATTGAACATAAATCAAAGTCACTGAAGACCAATTCTATTCCAGACACCGTGCGAGGTGTTAAGAGCACGGAGATGAATGAGACACAATCTTCACCCTCAGGGATCTCACAGCCCAGAGACGGAGACAGCATGTAATAAATATCCCGATTCCAGTACGATATGAAACTGTAGGATTATGCTCCTGCAGGGGCCCCACAGGGGAAGGTACAGGCTCTCTCTGCGCAGGCTGGGCTGTACGCAGGTGATTTCCAAAGGGACAGGAGAGTGCCGGACAGCAGAAAGGAAGTGCAGCATGGCCTACCTAAGCAATTTTAGAAAGGTGGGTGTTTCCACAGCGCAGGAAGAAATGGATGTGCCCTTAGCAGCAGCAGGCTAAACACTGTCAACAGCCTTGCAAAATATGACAGGGCCTCAAAACCAATGTGATCGAACATCTCTTCCAAGGCTGCCTTTGGTCATTCTTCCAAATATTTATATTAGTCTGAAGTTTCCACGTGTAATCTTGTTTCTCTCCAACTAGCCTACACACACTTCTAGAAGGTAGAAGGCAGGACTCATGTGTGTACTCGCCGAATGTCTCAAAGCCCTCGGTATGGTATGGAACACAGAGTGGAAGTTTTATCAGTATTTTAAATTCATTATCCACTCTCATCCTGGTAGTTGTATGCTTGGTGGCTTATAGGGAATGTAAAACATCTGTTAGAAAAATTAACCAATGCTGAGTCAAGATAAAAACTGAAAGGACCAGCATATTTTGCATAAATGTTTTGGATTAGTGATTTTGCCTCTAGAACAATTTTATTTGCTGTTAAAAAAGCAATTTAATGCAATTTGTTTCAAATGTCATATTTTAGCATATTTATGGTTGTCAATAACTGTGTAATCAACAGCGGAACAACAAGTATAAATTTTCAGCTATGATAATTGGATTTGCCTCTCAGAATTGCTCGTATATAAAGACTGTTAATCAATGGATGACATGCTCTGCAGCCTGGCCAGCCCTCTCTCTCCAATCCCTGCTGGACAGGACCGTAATCTGTGACCCGAAATGGCATCTTCTCTATGGGGAGTGAGTGCAGTGTGATGACCAAGACTAGTAGCTGAGCCAAAGAAATGGAGGTGAATGGAGAGCAAAGTTGGTATAGTCAGTGTCCCACTCTGTCGAATTTACAGCAAATCAGAGCAACAGCAATTGTGTGTTTATTTGGGGGAGGAAGCAAGAAATGTATGTGAGTGTGATTGTCTGAATCATCTACCTGCTTTAAACTGGAGAAGGAATAGGGCAGAGGAATGCTCTCATGGGACCCTGTCCAATGAGAAAAATAAAAAAAATGAGCCTCCCCCTTCACTAAACAAAGAAAAGTAGTAAAGGCTGAAATATAATATTAGTAAGCAATAAGGGAAATGTAGGTAGGCATAAATGTAGGTATAAACAGCCAAAAGAAGACTGCAAAGAGGTGGATAGAACGTAGTGCGGCAGGTCACAGGCCACAGAGAAAAGGATCGCACGAGGGAGACAGTGAAGAAGAAGAAAATTGTAACAGGGATATGTTAAAATCAAACCCTCAGAAGGTTCTCTGCAGGATGATCTGACTCCTGAGTCCTCTGCTGGGATGCTAACCCACGCTGCCACGTGCATTCCTCCTTATGCAGTAGTGGTGCTGATGATGGAATATGTCTCATGCTGTTAATTTTAACTCCTAAATGTCATTGCCCATAATCCCACTCTTTCAGTTCTAGGGGGACAGGCAAGTGCCAACAGGCTGGCTGTCAATATCATCTTCCCCGGAGATGACAAGAACCAAGAAAGTGTCACCGAAGGGAGAGCCAATCCAACCAGAGTACCTGGATAAAGCATATGCAGGCCGCATCGCTGTGTACTGCAGGGGATGGTGTCTGTGGACGGGGGTAACCACAGGACTACGCTCTAATAAAAACTCAAAGCCTGGGTGGCTCAGTCTGCCTTCAGCTCAGGTCATGATCTTGGGGTCCTGGGATCGAGCCCCGTGTAGGGCTCTCTGCTCAGCAAGGAGTCTGCTTTACCCTCTCTCTCTCCTTCTTTGCCCTCTCTCCCCCTCTCTTATAAATAAATAAAACCTTTAAAAACAAAACAAAAAACCAAACTCAAGTCCCCAAAGTCAGTTGGTCCTGCCAGAGACCCATACACGATCCTAGGTTTAATTCGTATTTCTTGAATATTTAATTCTTCATATTTCAGCTTCCACTTTGGAGGCCTCGCCCTCCCCGGCTGACATGTGAAAAGCAGCCCCCCTTACATGAGTCTGGGTATGTCACTGACAGCCACGGTCCCATCGTGGGTCTCGCTCTCGCCATCCTCCTCCTCCTCATCACTGCTTTCTGACTCCTCACTAGAGGAGGAGTAATCAGTCACCTTCTTCAGCGGGCGGTTTGTTTCTTCAATCCGGAGTTCTCTTAATTCTTTGGCTAATGCCGTCAGATCCTACAAAAGAAAAGGTTGTTGGGCATGTGTGAATTGTAGAGACGGAGACGACCAAAGTCACATCTCTCATCAAGTCAGTGCTCCCGCTTAAGCGACAAGAAAAGAAAGCTCTATATAGAACTGTTACAAACATAGTTGCTGCATGGAACTAAGAAAACGATGTTTGTAGCGCAGAGAAACTAGAAAAGAAAGATGAAATAAATTTACACTTTGTTCAAAACCAATGGCTAGACTGCGACGGTTCAGTTCTGAGTACACATGCGTATATATGTGTATGAGCGCTGTGTGTGTACACATATATACCGACATCGGGGTCTCATTTTATTTTGGGAAGGTGAAGTTGGTCACCCTCAGAGTTAAGGGGGAAACGCATGGGATTAGCAATTGCTCCCCAGTATTATGGGACTCCTGCCCAAGCCATGGTCATGGCCTTTCCCCTCTTTGATTGCTACTGTACCAAAATCTAGCATCAGTCACAGAACAGAGCAATTCCCAAGGTTCCAGCTACTACAATGACTCATTTGGTGTGTCATCATTCCCTGGAGAGCAGAGGCACGGCATCAAAGGATGGCCCACCCCAAAGCCCAGTGCCACTGACATTTAGAGCCACAGAGCTGAGTTAATCAAGAGGAATAACAACAACAACAACAAAAAGAGAAAAGAGAAAAGGAAAAAAAAAAAAAAAAAAGAATTCTCTTCCAGCACGATAGGTGTTTCATTTTCTTTTGTTTAAAATTACAGTCACCTGGCAAAAACCCTCGTAAGGAGTATGGAAACGAATGTGCAAACACCAAAAGGAAGAGATCGTTTTTCAGCTTTCCATGAGTATGATGCGATCTTTAGCCTTATGGAGGTGATGATGTGGTATTTAGTCACGAGGCACACGGCAGGCAGTGTGTGGATCTCTGACTACCTTTTGTTTCGCATGCTTTCAGAGCAATGCAGAGGGAAGCCGTTCTGCAGAAGCATGGCCACTCTAATTTGCATGGGTTCAACTGCCCCTGGCACATGGCATGCAAATGAGGAAAAAGCAATTTGACATCATTCTTACCATTTCTCCCTATATTAGTGACCCATGTGGGAATCAGAGCATTCAGTGAGAGACAGGGCATTAGGGAGAAAGAAACTCATTGAAAGATACTAAAGCCCACAGTTTTCTTATGGCCATATTCTCTCTTTATTTCAGTTCAGAAATGTTATTTGTCCAATTCGCCTGATACAAGATTAGAGCAACGTATGTGATCAAAGTGACATCTCATAATCTAGCCGAATTGGCTAGAAGAAACACTGGGATAAATGTGCATAGTTAAATTAGAAATAGAATTTATCTGGGGGAGGTAACAAATCGTCATGCTTCTTTATCGTCACCTCTAGGTCAGGCATTTGCTAGGCTGGCTAAGACTAGGAGAGGAAACGTTTCGGGTGTTTCATTTGGTCTGGCAATTCAGGAAGCTCAAGGAGGGAAGTGAAGGAGTCATCTCTCCGAATTTCATAGTAAAATCAAAGGAAAGCGATCGTGGCTTTTAAATTTGGTCTGAAGGCACCTGAATGGCAGCATTTGTAAAAGGGAAGCTTTTGAAAATTCAAATTGTGCATTTTCCACCCAAACATGCTTGCTTGGCTTTTTACACACATGCACACACGCGTGGCCTCGCTATCAGTGGATATATTTACCCCATCTGTGAAAATGGAAATAGGATCGTATTAAAAACACTCAAAGGTGTTTAAGTAGAATGTATACCGTTGAGGAAGAAAATTACCACATAAAATTTATGCAAATTTATTTCTTGTTTCTTTGGTAATGGGCCAAAATAGGAAAAGCCAATATTCAGATTTCAGCTTTATACTCCTTATTTCCTCTGGACATTGGTAATGTTTATCTTTATCAAATTGAGAGGACAGTGAAGAATATGCAATATTGCAATATGCAATATGTGGGAAACAGTTTAGATATTTGTTAAAGCTACGAATAGAAAAGGATACTATAATCATCGAAACCAGTAAAATAATGACAGATAAATTTATTTTGCATTTTGTTTTCTATATGTTAGGAGCATGTTAAGTCTCACCAAAGAATGTAAAGCATTTAAAAGGTTACTTATCATTTAAAAACACATTTTATTATAATTTAAAGAGAGAATATGGTTTAAAATAATTTATTTCTAATGGCAATAATTCTGAGTAAAATATAATATTATTAGTTGTGATTTATTTAAATTTATAATACATTTTCCCCGTGGGTTCTTTTTCCTTATCTCTGACATTTCAAAACAAGACAAAAGAGATTTGAAAAAAAAAAAAAATCAAAACGATTTAGAAATATTTAGTTGGTTCAAAGCCTGTTCATTTAAAGAAAGTCTCATTCATGAAAATGTCCTAATTTTTTCTAAACACCGGACCCAGGAAAAGTTTAACGTTCTGACCTGTTTTATAAATCCCACTTTTAATTAGAACTTTTATTTGTTTCTACATTATTAAAAAGCTCTCTTTCTTGAAACACTGAAAATAACTGCAAATTCCTTTTAAGTTTACTTGGTAACGGCTTGGTCGGTGAGACATATATGAGACTCCCAAAGTAACAATAATGAGTAACTCAAAGGTAATACCCCAGTCAAAGAAAATTAATCTTCCATTGCCAATAGCTGAGGTTTTGTTCCTTATCCATCCACTCTGGAAGAATTTACAATAGCAAAGTTATAGAAAACAGACATGAACTAAAATTGACACCATCAGGTTCAGATCCATTTTCATACATTTTATTTTCTGACAATACCAATTTTCTCCATATAATGAGTTTTTGTGGTAATTTATTGCTTGGCTGTCTCAAGCCTGGAGCTAAAAAGTATTAAAAAAATGAAGAAAAAAGTGCTATTTAGCATGAAAATATTTGAGAAACATATAACTAAAAAAAAAGAAATACAGCAAAATGGTAAGATTTTTTGACTATGGAGTAAATGTGAAGACAGGAGGCTCTTATCCAAAGGCTTCTCTTGCTGTAACACTTTTTAGAATTAACTTGACATATTTTTTTTCATTAAAAAGACTCTTATTTGATCTGACAATTATGCACACTTTACCTTAAAAAGGTGCTCTTTTAGGTCTCTTTTTAGAAACAACGCGGTTTATTCAGATTTTAGTTAAATTTTTTGGAACTGTTAAAATAATGGTTAAAAATCTTTAAGCTGCTCTTTTGTCTACACATGAAAATAATTTAGTTCCTTTTTAGGAAATCTTATGAAATGTCATTGGGGAAGTTCCTTAACCTCAGTACCCTCATCTGGGGAAAAAAAGGTTTTAGACCACTAGCTGTTGTTCAAGGTCTGCCCAATCTATGGGTGTGCTCTGGAATCTCTCAGATTCTTACACAGTAACAAAAAAATAGCGCTAAAGCCAGTGTTTGCTTATGTACCTAATCCTCACGTCGTATGTTTAATTGTGCTAAAGGAAAAAGAATATTTATTTTCAACGATTATATTAAATAACCACAGACAATCGCACAATCTCCTATTTCACTAGAAAGGAATGCTAAATTAATGGACACTACCTCAGATCGATTTTCATGAAAAATCAAACCATTAGATGAACAATAACAAGCAACACGTTTTCAGAATCTTAAGGCTTTTCCTTTCAATCCTGGGTTATCTAAATGGCAAATCAGTTACCATAGAAGGAAGCCATATCAAAAGCTATGAATGAAGGTGGGAGAAAGGTTTATTGGACTCGTTTTCTCACCTGTGGCACTACTGACATATGGGGCCAGATCATTCTCTGCTAGGGGTTGCCCTCCTCTGCACGGGAGGCTGTTGAGCAGCATCTCTCTGTTCTACCCACAAGACACCAGTTAGCCCTGCCTCCTGCCCTCGAGTCGTGACAACCAAAACTGTCCCCAGACTTTGCCAAATATCTCCCAAGGGGATGAGGGGATAGGAGGGAAAAGGAGAAGGGGAATCGTCCCTGGTTGAGAACTACTGAGTTAGGTCGAACCAAGTAATCCTCTATTTTTAGTGGCCTAGATCTGTGATCTCAGAATCACCTGGAGGGCTTGTTTCTACCACACAGCGTCCAGAGATTCTGGGGGTGCAGCTTATATCCCCTCCACAATGTGTACTTCGGTTGCCCCCTCTCATCTCTGTCCAGTGTATGAGAGTAAAGCAAAATAAATAAAGCAGTTTTTAAAAGCCTAAGGCATCCTGGGCTAACCAGATGAAATCCATTCCCCTTACGACTGCCACCTTTGAGCTAATTTCTGCACTCATGAGCTTTCCCTTGAGTTACGCACGCACGTAACCATTTTACTGGCAGTCATGGCACCAGAATATCGTTCTCTTTCTTCGACTATTTGGGAGAAAACTGAAACAAGTTGTGAGAGTTGCTGTCCTTCTGACTATTATGAGGGGAAGGGCCAGACTGTGGCACAGAGCAGTGAAGAGCACCCTCTGTTTCACTTTCTATAAATGCTGCCTACACGTTGTAGACGTGTAGAGTCTTTTTTTTTTTTTTTCCCAAACGAACAGCAATCCTTTACCTAAGAAATAATGTTCTAAATCACTCTGAATGGGAAGGCGGTCCTAATTCTGAAAAAGGGGGCTCTTTTTTGGTAAAGATCAGATGCATAGAAACCTGCTTCTTCCACCTGCCAAAATGGTTCCATGTCTCAGGCCCAAGCCTTAGCATGAGGACAGCCTCTTGGCTTTCTGCAGTACCTTACACTTCATAAAATGCTCTTGCATACGTGATCTTGAGTGATCCTAATCAATCTCGTAATCGAGGCAGAGCAGGTGTCTTTATCCCCATGTTACATATGAAGAGACTGGCCCAAGGACATTATGAGACTGGTCCTGGCCAGTTATTTTTTAGGGGGAGCTAGACTTTGAGTCTGTTGACTCCAAAGCCAATGCTTTTTCCATATCATTTCACAAAAAATGGTGCTCAGCAGAGCTACAGCCGTAAAGCCATAATAATAGTCTTCAGATTCCATGCAGTTAGGACTCTTTGCAAGGCCTGTCTCTTAAGAAACAAAACAAAACAAAACAAAACACAAATCTACTATGCTGTGTTCATGCAGGTCTGACAAACAGCAGTAAGGCAGTCATCCTTCTTAGCAAGCTACCTAAGATTGACAAAGCCATATATTTTTCTAATGGAAAAATGTCTCCACAGATAAGGAAATAAAGTCACTTAACTCGCCAGGATTCATTAACTAAAGTTGATGTTGCTGCTGCTGCTGTAGTTAATGTCCCACAAAATTAATCTAACAATACCCAGTAACTCCTTGTTCACAAATCACACACTATAAATTTGGAGTGCTTTAGAATGATGTCTCTTTTCTTTGTTAGTAAAACTGCCACCCCCTCGCAAAGCTGGTGAGTCCAGGTGAAGGGCTGGGCTTTGCTATTGGAAGACGCTGGAATGAGAAATCCCCAATAACAAAGCACTAATGCTTATCTTTAGCCAGACTCGAACGTTGGAGAAGTGACATTTTGGCTCAGGAGGAAGGTCTCTGGAGCTTACATGGGTGTCTGAGGGCCTCAGGCTGGCTGCAGTTGAAGGGGCTCGCCTTCCAGCAGACCACTCCAGAGGACTAAACTTTAAATCTGTGATCCAACAGGCCGCCTCTCTGAATGTCAACACCCGGAAATCAGCTTTATATTTACATCTCATGACAGCATGACCAAGAAAAGGTAATACTAACCTCATCTATCGCTTTCTTATAGCTCTGAGATAGGAGGAACCCAATCCAGAAGAATCCACAGGAGAGGGAAAACCCAGAAGAAAGGCAGCAGGTTAGACACAAAATGGGCATTGTTAGTACACAACTGATAAATGCAAAAGAGTGGAGAGAACCTCAACCCTGGGTGGGTGGGGGGGCGCAAATCCCCGTCGTTACTACTCTTACTGTGCCTCCCGACTTCAACATGTACAGGGCAGAGTAAACCAAAAAAGTCTTCACATTCATTTCATAGAAAAGGTTCTCAGAAATTTCAAATAAAGTAAGTGGATAGTAACTCATCCCAAATTAATTTCCAACTTTCACATGTCAGCCGCTATGCTCTTATTTCTTTTGCTAAAGCTAATGGGGTCTGTTATGTCTCAGCAAATGAAGCTAGATTTCAAGTTGTCAGGCCCCTTGTCAAACCATGCTTATCACATTTTGGTCTGGAAAAATATAGTCCTGAAGGCATGAGAAACAGCAAAAATTACATTAATTCATATGGAAAATAATACGGGGAGAGGGTGGAGTAGACAAGAGAAACCCACAGAAAGTGCCCACATCTCCTTAACTGCCAGCTTTCACATCTTTTTGCCAAAGCTGCCGAGAAGAAATTATGTAATGCTATGAGTTATTTCTCCCCCTTTTTTAATCTCTAAAGTAGTGCTAATGATCAGCAAAATGCCTAAAGGCAGATAGGCAATCCAAAATCTGTTCAGTTCTTTCTGGATGGCTTCCTTCTGGATGCTTCTAGCATCCATTCTTCTTAATCTCAGTAAGTTTTGTCTCAGAGTCATGAGTGTATCCCCAACTACTTTATCCTATGGTTTCTCTGGTAACTTAAAAGAGTTCAAAAGCACTCACAGCTGGTCGACTAGGTCGGGTAATATCCCTGGATTCTTCTGGCTTCACCTTGGAAGGCTCGTGGGGGAGCACAGGTGATCCTTCCGACTTACTGTTAGCTAGATAGAAAAACAGGGGCCAAGAAAAATAATGACCATCACAAAGTGTTGACTCAAGTTCTGGAGTTCTGTGGTGAGTCATCCTTCAGGATTACTCAGGGAATACGTCATTCACTTGGGCAAATCCTCAGACGCATCTGTGAACAAATTGTTAATATTCGGGCAAACACATTTAGGCCTGTAACCTGGAAGTCACTATTAATAATAAGAAAAATTGGCAAGCACCACTACCACCGCCATTTACTGAGTGCTAAATGCGCATCACGCTTAATGCTAAATGCCTTCCAGGTCAACTGTCTCATCGGATTCTTGATCCAACCCAATGTGCGGCACCCTTTGCCCATTTTACAGTTCAATATAGACTTAGATGGCATACTAGCCTAGGGCTATGCTGGAATTGTGGGCAGAGTTGGGATTCTGTTTTATCCGAGCCCACTTCTAGGTTATTACACTAAACCAACTTCTGTGTTAACATTCTTTGCTCGGCTGCTTCTTTGACCACTTACCCATCAGGGTAGGTTATTCTGAAGGGATAGAAATCTATTTCATTTGATGGAATGGTTTTCAAACAGGAGGCAGGGGTTGTCTGGGCCCTTTAAGGAAGAAAGAATAAAGTGGGAACAGGAAGGAGAGTGTCGGTGACAAAAGGGAAGATTCCCAGAGTAGAGGTACAGAGCAAGGGTGGGGGAGGGCTCCCCAACAGCTACAGAGTAAAGAGCATCTCTCCGATTTACTGATGGTAGACAAAATCAACCTGGCACAGGAGAGATTCTTTTGTTTTAAACTGGACTTTCCTGGGCACAAACACACCAGGGATACAGCAGTGTTTTTAACCCAGAAGACCTAGAGGCCAAAGGAGAGAAGATATGAAGTAAACCCAAACCAGATCAGAGAATTAAAATGATATGCCTAACTGTAGTTTTCTTTAGTTTGCTCTAAGGATATTATGTTGCTTATAAAGAAAAAAAAAGTGGGTGAGTTTTCTAAATTAAGCAAATTTATATTTGAATTAAAGCAGCAAAAGCACACATAGCTATGGGCTGGGCCACACCAATGTCTGAAGAATGCATATGGGGGCAGCCACATCCCAGTCCAGCGACATGAGCACCACATGTCAGGTTTCAGCCTTTTCAAAACAGACATACAGTGATTTTACTTATTTAAAACCTTCGGAAGATATTAGGGGCCCGACTGTGTCTAATGAAAGAAAAAAAAATAAAGTACTGGTGTTTTTTTCTCAGGCAGAGAAATTTGTTGATATCTATCAAATTACACTTTGCAAAGTTCTAGTGTTTATTGCTTGGAAGCAAAATTATCTTTCTGAAGGAGGTTGTTCAGAAAGAGTCCGTTTTGTCGCGAGAAACAATGTGTTGTCGTGTGTAATTAGCTGGACACGCTGCTGCCTTTCACAAGCTTCTTCATTAATGAAAACTGAACAGTGATGGGAGACTTGAATAAATGGTCAGAGAGGCTCATTTTTTATTCCTCTTTAGTAGGAATAACCCGAAGAGTCAAATAATACACTTTTTAAGTCAAAGAGTTTACTTCTTCTCTAAAGCGTATATGTGTTCTCCATTAACCTTTGCCAAATTCCACTTTGAGAGATTCCCAAGTATCATGAGCAATACTCAGAATCCCGAAAAGGGACGATGGGCGTATCGGGGAGGGGGTACTAGGGGGTATCTGAACCTTGAAACAGGCAACAAGGGGCAATGGGAATTCAGGTGACTCACAAGTGATTATATTTTCAAATAGGGCCAATAATCTTCCTGGAAGACAATGTCATCGGCAAAGAGAAAAGATTTAGTCCAAACTGTGGTGTCACACATGCAACTGGGGCTGGTGGTCCTCTCGTCTACGGAGACCGAGGCTGCGGGCAGAGAGGACTGTGCAGCTTCGCACCGTGGGGGCCACAGAGGTCAGGGAGTCAGCGGAGCCCGTGGCCACGGCTCTCGGCCCCAGGCAGTGCTGTCCGGGGAAAGCTTACCTCGAACTCTGGTCCGTTCGCTGGACCCTGCTTGCGATCCAGGCTGGGAGCCCCCTTGGGAGCTGGGCTGGGAGCTGGGAGTGCTGGAGCTAGAGGAACTGCCGCTGCTGGTCCTCTGCAAGGGGCTCTCCAAGACGGGCTCCGTTCTCCGGAGGTCAGGGTTGCTGTACGGAAGGCAGAGCACGGTGACTACACCCCCAGACCTTGCCATCCACAGACACAAGCACAGTCCAGTCCCGCCCCCATGCAGAGGAGCAACGATGGCCCTTGTGCCACCACGCACTGGAAGGGTCCACGGAAATGCCAGTCCTGAGGGTCTCCGTGGAGCGCCCAGCCTGATACTGCCAGGCGGGTCCTGGGTCATCACGCTAAGGTGTGGGCTCTGAAATGGTGTTCTCCTTGGGAGGCTTTCTCTTAAACCCTTATTCTCATGTTCATCATAAAAAAAAATCTTGAAAAATATTAAAAGATTAAAAAAAGAGAGAAAGCCACACATGCAGTCTCTGGCCCAGGAGACAGCCAACTATGTTTTGTTATTTGGTATAGTATCTTCTAGAATTCTTTCTTCTGCATACACAGGAGCATGCTGTATGTTCAGTTTTGCAGCTTGCTTTTTGCCCTTCGGACGGCATCGTGAGCAGCTTCTTCTGCTTACCAAACAGTAACGGCTGCAGAGCAGGCCAGTGTATGGATGAGTTAGTTTAACCGTTCCTCGACGGTTGGGTATTAAGGTGCCTCTACTACACTGGCCTGACGCATAAGGCTGAGACGGGTACCTCCAGGCATACAAGTACTCAATCACATCTCCTTCCTGGAACTGGAATTCCTGGGTGGAAGGACGTGAACTGGCAGGTGTGCACCACATAGGTCTGTATGTGAGTGTGCAATGACGGTATCACCGGTTTTCGCCGAAGCGTATGAAACGGTCCATCTTACTGAATCCTTAGCCATACTTTATTATGAGCAGTTCATTGATTTGTAAAAAAGAAAAAAAAGTGCCCTGTTTTAAAACATTACTATTGAAGGAGAGTAATTTTTATTCACCTTTATTTACCATTTGTAACTCCTCTGTGAATTACTTATCATGGTCTTTGCTTATGTAGTTAGTGGTGTATTTGCATTTTTAAATTTATTTCAGGAAGCCTTTATATACTTTGGCTCTTATCAAAGGGAGGGATGTTTTATTTTATTTTTTAAGATTTTATTTTATTTATTCATGACAGACACACACACACACACACACACACAGAGAGAGAGAGAGAGAGAGAGAGAGAGGCAGAGACACAGGCAGAGGGAGTAGCAGGCTCCATGCAGGGAGCCCGACGTGGGACTCGATCCCGGGTCTCCAGGATCAGGCCCTGGGCTGAAGGCAGGTGCTAAACCGCTGAGCTACCCGGGCTGCCCAAGGGAGGGATGTTTTAAAATAATTATTATTAAGCACTAATTTAAGAACAAATGCTAGGAGTCACCACTTGTTATAAAATCTTACTGTATTATTCACTTTCATACCTCAAGTGCCCCCCAAATAGTGGTATTTACTAGCTCACTCAGTTGGTTATACCAAGCACTGGCTCAGGCATTTGAGATATGATAATAAACATGACACACGCCCTTGTCATCTGCCGCTTGGCCAGACACAGCCAAACTCGCCCATGCTCTGCCCGCAGTGAGCACCGGCCAACAGAGGGGCATGGAACAGGGCCACCTAGGCCACTTCTGATCATATACCTGCTCTCCACTTGCCAGGGGGCGTGACATCGGGCCCCTCCACGTTCCCGATGTCTTCAGTTCTCCAAACAGAATTGCATGTCTTTGCTAAACAGAGTCACCGTAGTGTGACCATGGACTCTGACTGTAATGCAGTTAAGTCGTGTTAAAATGTAATTTTATGCCTTCCTTTCCCTCCACTCATTTCAAGAATGTCAAGTGCACTCTGACCTGTGTTGGGTACCCCATGTTTCATGTATAAAAATGAAAATAATACGGTCTCTTCCCTCGAGACAATAGCATTTTAGTGTACTAAAAATCTGGCCACAGAATGGCATCATTGATTTCTTTTAGAAAACACAAGACCCCCGCTTTTTGGTGATGTATCTGCCAAAAATATTTCATTGACCTACAAACATTTTAAAATATTGGGTTATCGGAAGACATGGCTAGTGGCCCTGGAAAACATATGTAAAAATAAATATGTCTTCATAACCTATTAGCTTTGATCATATAAATATAGGATTTATGACATATTTATCCTTTTAAGTTTTTATTGGTAAAGGAGTTGCTAAGTCAACCCAGCAGTATGATCAACTGCAGCAGAACTGATGATCAAACTTAAGGAAAATGTTTAAGATTCTCAATATTTTTACAGAACTCCTTTGTGCAGTAATTACTTTTTGAAAACTGCCAGCACTTAACTGGTTTAAATAGATTTGGATCCATACTGGAAGTGGCCCTGATTTGGAGACTACCTAAAATGAAAAATGTATAATACTTATGCCACAGCCTACTTTCGAATTCTCCTTAAGAAAACAATCTTATCTCCTTTTATTTCCAAAAATAAATTCTTTCCCATGGTCCTCTTTTATTAAATAGTGGTGGACAGGAATTATTTAGATATAATTAATAAAGCCCCCCAAACACTTTTTCTAAAAAGTCTATTGCTAACCAACTGTATTGCAGATTGAAGGTGACAGGCAAGTGAAGGCTTCTTGATAATTGCTTTCACTTTGTAGACTGGTAATGTAGTGTTTTTGTGTGTATATATATATATATATATATATATATATATATATATAAAATATTACATGAATTTTAATATGTATATATATTAAAAAAAACAGCTATTAAGAGAAGGGTGACTGTGAGCTCTGAGATTTTTTTCCTCCTGTGGCTGTGGTGTGGCAGTGGGACCCAGCTGTTTGCTTGAACACAGCACTCCTTTGATCACTTAACCAACACCTTTCTATGAAGCACCTACTTTGTGAGTCTCGTTGGACCCGTATGAGGGATGGAGGAGAGCACAGGACACAGGCGCAAGGTGCAACATAATTCTCGAGATGGGAAATGTGCAGCGGAGATAACAGTGGATAAGGCCCATCTCTCTAGGCTGCGTGTGAAGGAACCTGTAAGTGATGTTGGAGTTTGGGGAACGATGGATGCAGCCTGGGGTGGTGGTGTCAAGATGGAGACAGGACTTGACTGGGCCTTGGGGGGTGAGCAGGAAGTCTGGGGGAAGCTGAGCTAGGACACCGGCCTGCTGGAGTACGGCGTCTGCATCCGCTTACCCTGGAAAGGTGGCTCAGCAGAAGGAACGGATGGCTTGGGGAGCGGTCCTGCGGGGCTGGGGGAGCTCATAGGCCTCCCGGTGCAGACTGAGCGGGTGGGGGGAGGCCACCTACCTACAATGAGGCCTGGGCCAGGGCTGCCAGGGAGGGGCATGGAATTGGCAGGACCAGCTGGGATGTGCAGGCCTCTCTGATGGGACTCAGAGCCTCTCTGGGTGTGAAGTTAATTGGCTCCCACGGGCATTAAACCCCTGACCTGGGCTTCCTTAGGGCTTCCTCCTCACCGGAGCTAACCAGCGTGGGTGCTGACCTTAGGAGGCTGCTGTTTTTGCGGCTGGAGACTAAAAGAAGTGTTTAGTTTCTATATAACCACATACAGAAATTGGGAAAACTTTAAAATGCTTTTTCTACCTCATTTTTTTGGGGCAGGGGGGGGAGTAGAAGTATTTTGAGAAACTGTTACACCACTCGTATTTCTCTTTTCCTTATTATGTAGTAATATGGTCTGGCTGTGGGGCCAAGGGGTCTGACATGAATGCCTTTAGAGGGAATTTCAGAAGAATTCTATGAAATAACAGATTTCCTTTGTTCACATCTTAACTGAAACTACTCAGATCCAAATGTGTAACAACTTGAAAACATTCACATATATTTCTTTAAGTGCCAACTTTTAGTTCATACATTTGCCATCCCACAGACAATGCTATAAAACACACAGTAAAGTGAAAATGTGGCAATTATTCCATTTATCCGACTCATATAAAAAGTCGAAACAGAAAATTAGGATTACAAAGTGATTTCTTGGCCCAAATACTTGGGCCAAGTCTATAATTAACTGGCTGACAGCCAAAATTCACTTTACTTTGTTCTTTGATGACACAGCCAGTGAGAACAAATGAGGCATGGGAAGATAGGTTTGGGACGGGACAGAGAATTATTTTTTGAAATTAAGCATTTAGTCATTGGGTTTTGACCAGGTGTTTCTGGCTTAATTTAAATCTCTTCATATTCTAAATGTGCTTGTTTGATCAAATTTTAATTTGCTTTAGAGGAACACAAGAATCAAAGTTAAATATTGAAGTTACCTGGGAATTTTTTAAGACAGTGTTTTAAAAAAAGAACAAATCAAATCTTGATCTAGACTCAGCTGGTCACCTTGACAACATAAGGCACCCAGGAGTCCATGCAGCAGGTAAGAAAGAACTGCAGGCTGACGCGTGCCTGTGTGAGAAGGAAGAGGGGAACAGGCAGGCGGGGGGGTGGTGGTGGTGGTGGTGGCGGTGGTGGTGGTGGCGGCGGCACGGTGACTGGGTTGTCACGCAGACTTTGGCCATGTAGGATGGGAACTGTCAAATGCACATAATGACGTTAGCACCAGCTTGGGTAGGAAAGTCTGGGGCCTATAAATAGATCCCATGGGACAACTATTTTTGTTTTATTTATTTTTTTAAAGATTTTATTTACTTATTTGGCAGAGAGAGAGAGAGAAAGAAAGGGAGAGAGATCAAAGCGGGGGGGGGGGGAGTGGTGGGGAGACAGAGAAGCAGGCTTCCTGGTGAGCAGAGAGCCCGACTTGGGGCTCGATCCCAGGACCCTGAGGTCATGACCTGAGCCGAAGGCAGACGCTTCACCGACTGAGCCACCCAGGCGCCCTGATACACGTCTAGTTTAAAACATATTCCTATAGGGCTCTTTTCGATTTGGTGTCGTGTGTGTAGACAGGAGAAGAGTGACATACTTGGACGTTTTTTTCTGGGAGAAGGAAGGCTTTTGAAAATAGTAAAGCTCCGATGTTTTCCTCACGTTATGGGTACATGCTTGCATACTCTCACTTTAACTCACCTCAAGAATCTTCCATTCAGGGTGCCAAGTAGTTTACTGATTTAAACATACTGTTTCCTATATTCTTAGAAATTATCACACATTCTGCAGTCACTGGGGAACATACACCATCTTGCACCTAGTACCTGGACGTCATTAGTACCTGAATTCAGGAGGCAAAAACTGAGCTTTTTAACCATTAGCCTCTGTTTTCTATTCTTTCTTTCTTCTACTGACTTTGCACAAAAGTGGCTTATTTCCCACTCATATCACAATATACACAGATAGAACTGCTCTCCTTGGTGGTTCTTCTCCAAGCAGGGACTTGGGGTTCCTCCTGGGTTCAGACACTGTTGCCTTAAACTTGTCGTCCCTAAGTCTGCCACAGAAGGAGAAGACAGAGCCTCTGCCTTCTTTTGCTTTCTTCAGACAAGCCAATTCACAGATTTACCCCAAAGCAAAATAAGAAAGCAAGGCAAGTAACAGAGTTTTGCCCCTAATAATGCCCATAGCCCCAAAGAGTAGCAGGTAATGGTTTATCCTCTGACCCATGGGCCCTAGACTCAGGTGGTCTTGGTTGACTCACTGGCTCCCAAGGTCCCATGTGGCCCTTTGAATAGGGGGGGCCCATGCCTCTCTACTGGGGACCCAGGAGGTCCCCAATATACATTTGCTGAATTTAGCAAATGAAAAAAAATAATAACAAAACATCCTGATTTTCTTATTTTATTAACATGTGTGGTTTTTCTTGGGATCCATTTTTTACTTTGCCAATTTCCCACTCTACCCTGAGGATCATTTTCAAGCAAGAGGGCTGGAGGATAAAAAGGAATATTGACCAACTATAAGAAATATAGCTTATAAACATTGTAAATTATTGATTACTTAAAACAACCCCTTTTTATGGCTTTATGAATGGGCAATTGCCTGAAAAATGGTACAAAAAGAACTATGAGGACTTCATTAAGACCAGTGTAAAACAGGAGAGTCTGCTTTACAGTAATGCCCCCGGCCAGTCACATCTCCCATTGTCCATGCCCCCGTGTGTCTCCTTTACCCACTGATTCAGGGCTTGGCCATGTGATTGTGGTTGCCAATGGGACATCAGCAAAGGTGAAACAAGCGAGGGCTGGAAAAGTATTTGTGTACTGGGGCTTCTGGGGCTTTCCCCGCCAGGAGGCTGTCCTGAGATGGCCAAACAATGAAGAAGACCAGGATGAGAGAGCACATGAAGGTACAGCTGACCCATCAGCTCAGTGCAGCCACATGGGGAAGCCCAAATGAGACCGTCAGAAAAACCTATTAGCCAACACACAGAATCGTAAGAAATTGGAAATCGTTGCTATTTCAGACCACTTAGTTTTTGGGTGTTTTATTATGAAGCAATCATGAGCTAAAAATTACATCTATCACAGTAGATAAGCCAAATCCTGAAACTTAAAAAAATGCAATCCAATCTAGAGTTGCAAAGTCTGATTCACATCTTAAGTGCTGGTCACTTGGAGATGGGGAACAGCAAGAAGCAGCGTTCAGTAGGATTACTGCACGCGGCAGGGATGGGAGGCTCCAGGGCCCTCCCCGACAATCCCTCTGACTTTCACTGTAGGTAAATAATTATTACCCCTTAGCTCCCTCCTTCCCTTCTCTGTAAGCAGAGAAATGTTAGCTGTCTCACAAAGTCCGCATTCTTTGGACTAAGAACAAACTTAAGTGGTTCTGAGGGGGAAAAGCTCATGTTTTACAAGCCAATGACCATCAAAAGCCAACTATCTTGGACCTAACGTCATTAAAATAACACTTCGGCGGGAACAAAGAGCTGCTTTTTATTTCATTATAAAATGATAGTGCGCTTTCTTTCTGGTGATAGGAGGGAAAAAGGCTTAGAGTTGAAATGAGGCTTGATTTACAGCAGCTAAAATTCTAAGCAACTGATCTGATGAATGGAGCCCTGGGGCCCAGGTCCAGAGGAATAAGAAGCACCGATAATCGGGGGCTCCCCGCTGCTTGAAGAGGGGGATCTGACAAAGTTCACCCCGGCAATCCCAGGGCTGCTGTTCCTCTCGCTCTGGTCACAGCACACTCTGGACTTTCTCAGCGCTGCTTAGCAACACCTGCTCGGGGTGAGGCTGACAAGTCCCTGGGAAAAAATGGCTCATGCGGAGCCTCCTGCCAGTGGCAATCCCACCCAGAACGGGCGAACTTCTTTGCCCTAAAGGGATTAATGTTCTTATTCTTAGTACAGTTCCATCTTATTTATTGTGGACTGGCCTCTTCCTAAAGCTCTTCACGTGAAGAGGAAAATTAAAGCCACACTATATCAAAATTCCATATATTAGAGGCAGGCACAGATAATCCTCTCCTTCATTCCAGCCTCTGTCCTTACTAGCAAGGGAGAGGCCTCCTCTTATGAGGGGAGAACAATGCAACAGCCTGCCCAAGCTCACTCTTTTTATAGTCTCAGCAGAGACCATTTGCTATTTCGGTTGATCCTAAAGAGTGGTGCATTCATCATGAAAAAATCAGAGAGAAGCTCGACAAACTAGAGCAGCAAATAGTGTCTGTCGCCACATAAAACCAGCTCAGATACAGTAAAGATGTTGTTTACTTTCCAGATTCTCTTGAGACCTCTACACCAGCCGGTAGGTGGATGCAGTTTCCTGACTGTAGGAATATCCATTGTTGATGGAAAATTCTAGGAGAGTACAGAGCCGCGGTGGAAGTAGAACTGTATCTGAGTGACCCTCCGTAATGCCAAGGAGGTGACTTCCTGCTAAGAAACAGTCTTTTTGTAACGTGCCAAGCTAGGAAGCTCTGCAGATGGCCACTGATGCGCTTCTTTGGCAATGACTTTGTAATGCCCCCCCCCTTTTTTTTTAAAGTAGGTTCCGCACCCAGCATGGAGCCCTACATGGGCTTGAACTCACGACCTGGAGATCAAGACACAAGCTAAGATCAAGAGTCCGATGCCCAACTCACCGCGCTACCCGGGCACCCCTGCCTTTGTAATGTGTTACTGGCTCCCAGGGCATTAAAAATCACCTCCAACCAGGCCATCTTGTTCTGCTGACTTTGCCAAAGGGTCTCTGAAGTAATGGTTTGGGGTGTTTTAACCAGACTTATATTTGCAACTTTACTCCCCAGTTTTTAAAATTGTCAAGTGAGGTACACCGGCTTGGCTTTTCCGCGGTCTCATTTTTCTTCACCCACTCCCTCATTCACCCAAGAGCCTCCACTGTTCACTGATCTCTGTGAAAGGCGCAGAAATAAGAGGCATGTATTCTGGCCCCACCAGAGCTCACGGTCCAAGTGGCCAGTCAACAAGCCTCAAGTGAAAAAAGGACGGATGATTTTTAGGAAAGCAATAATGACAATGACAGGTGGGGGCCTTTTCCTTCACTTGAAACCATCTTTTTCGCCTTACCTTGCTCTGATGGGTTGAGATCCTAGTCTGGGTCCCAGAGCACTACCATTTCCAGGAGAATTCTTTCTGGCTAATGCTGGGGATATGGAAGTGGTTCTTTGAGGCACCTGAAAGAAAAAGCAGGATTCAGAAAGCGTTTCCATGAAATAGCTCCAATAGGCTCCTTTCCTAAAATTTACCAGGAGTTACAGAAACTATCAGAAATGGGAAAGACATAGTGTTCATTTTTCAGAGAAAAGATTTAACTCCCTAAACAAAACCACACAGAAGGCACTGAGGCACATTCAGCGATCATAAAGGAGAATGGTCTTCAATTTTATGTATTTATTTTCTTAATAAATTTATTTTTTATTGGTGTTCAATTTGTCAACATATAGAATAACACCCAGTGCTCATCCCGTCAAGTGCCCACCTCAGTGCCCGTCACCCAGTCACCCCCCCGCCCACCTCCCCTTCCACCACCCCCTGGTCTTCAATTTTAAAAACAAATTAAAAAGCAGACCAAGCTAATTATTTTGATTCACTGGGCTAAAATAGTTGACCTCCTTTGCTTGTGTACGGGTGGTGGATACCAGAAATTTCTCCGGGATACCATTAACTCAGTTGATCATTGGAAATTGCATCAGATGAGAATCATCCAGATAAGCTGAGCTCCACCCTAACTGATAAACAGATAAGGAAATGATGAAACCTGGCGAGAAACGAGGGTACCGGGCTACAGCTTGGGACATGAGCCACATGCCAGTGAGCTCAGAGCAATTACTTCAATGGATGCTAAGTGTTCCCACTTCCTAATCAATTTGCAGTCATTAATTAAAAACACGCCCCCCCCCCAACACTGTGCTTTGGAAGGTCGATTTGCAAATGTGATTCAAAACAGGATTAATATTGAAAATCCTGGCAGGGTCTTCAAAAAGACTGTGCACACCAGCAGACACACAGTAGGAAAATGTATCATTAGTAGCTTAGCTGACGAGGGCCAAGTCTTAGCTTGGGAACCAGGAGGGGGAAAAACCCAAACCTAAGAAGGGGTGGTGCTCTGGCATTCTCCTGCTCCTCACTGCTGTGGAAGGGCTGGAGGAGACGTAGTAATAGTCATCGTAAACGAGGCTGAAGATGACAGGAACGCGGAGAGAGGCCCGCCAGCCTATTTACCTTTGGTGGAATGTCTTCTTCCTGTCGTAACCAAGAGCTTCGGTCAAACTTCTCAATGCGAGTGGGGAGAGGAGGGTTTTCAGAGGTGGGGTCCGAGTTCTGGCGCGGCATCTCCACGCGGTGAGAGGTCACGTTCAGGGCCTCCTGAAACCCAGACAGGCCCTTGGTGGGCTGCTCGTGCACGGACTGGGAGGCGGTCAAGGCAGGTCCCTGGGACTTCACAGCTACCAGATGTGGAATCTAAACGTCAAACCAACACGGTAGCGGCATTATTAGAAGAAAAAGCAGATCTACTAGGACCTCCATTCAGTGGAAGGGAAAATAAAATTTTAGAGCACAAGCGCTGGAGTACACGGAGCCCATCACAGCTGTCTCCAACCTGCTTTTGGAAGCTCTTCCACATTTCCCATTCACAGCCATGTGTAGGCCGGACCCAGGGCGCCTGGCAAAAACTAAGCGATTCACTTGGGCCCGCTAAGAAGTCTGTGAAATAGGTGTGAGGACAATAATAGCAATTTTTCAGTGGACACTTACTGACCAGCAGTATAATACGTTTACAAGCACTTTTCTTCTAATATGATACACCTCCTCCTTCAAAACCCTCAACTTTGGCTTTAGAGAGTGCTATGGCTCTGTAAAACAAGGAGTGTTCCGGATCACCTTACTTCTAATGAACTCACTAAATCCACTACGAGGCGGACACAATCATTTTCATCGTTTTTCACGTGAGGATGGAAGGTTTAGAGAGGTGAAGTAACAACCTGGATCTCACAGCTAATACTTGCTGGAGCCTGGATTGGAAGCCTCACACACCTCACGGTCCAGACATCTAGCTCCGCGCTACTCCACTTTCCGGTGAGCTGGCTCTTACCACCCATGACGGCTCTTACCATCCACACCAAGATGTTTCTTTTAGGGGGAAAGTCACATATGTGGGCACGCATTCATATCGTTCGTGTAGAGAAGACATGCCGTTTTTGGTAGAAATGTGGCTCTTTAAGACAAATCATTAGAATCAAGAGTTTTCAGGGGCGCCTGGGTGGCTCAGTTGGGTAAGCGTCTGCCTTTGCCTTGGGGTGTGATCCCAGGGTCCTGGGATCGAGCCCCACGTCAGACTCGCTGCTCACTGGGGAGCGTGCTTCTCCCTCTCCCCCTGCTCATGCCCTTTCTTGCTCTCTCTCCCTTTCTCTCAAATAAATAAATAAAATCTTAAAAAACAATAAGATCAGGAGTTCAGAGTGTTCTTGACCGTTAGCACCACTCACACACTCACACTTAACTGTTACTGTCTCCTCCCCCATCACAAAGTCCGACTCCCTGGAGATAGGAGCCGTGTCTGGATGGCATCTCTCAGTCTACACTGTGCCTGGCATGTGGAATGTGGTCAATAAATCTCGGCAGGCGAAACGGCTAGGGGACTTTCTAAATTAAACTATTAAGTCAGTAAACACTAACATAGTATCTGCTTTGTGCAAGGGACCTAGCAGACCCTCTTCGGTCTAAACTCTCGATGCCAGGCCACTGGGGAGCATTTCCGCAGCCCTCTTCCGCCAGCCTGGCCCTGCTCCTTTAGCCCTTGAGGTCTTATCCCTGGAGCAGCCCTGCCTTAGCTTCTTCACACCCTCTCTGGTCTGAAACCTGAAGTGTCATTAATTAGAGTTCAGAGAAAACCCTCAAGGTCTGCTTCAGGTGAATGTTATGCTTCCACCAGAAAAGACCTCTAAATCGATCAGGTTTTTATTAATGTTAATATAACAACATTATATATATAATATAATATATATAACATATATATATAATAATGTTAATATACTAAATCCTAATATGAAAACAGGGCATGTTTTAAGAACATAGCACAAAACAGAAACCTACTTAAGAGTCTTCAAAGACATTTGGGTGAAACTGGCTGCATTATCACTCTTACTTTTCATAAAATTCCACACTTTTTTTTTTCATTTTTAGTATTTACCGGTCAAGAGGTCCTCTAAAACCTCCCAGAGACTTGTCCTGGAGCAGAGGAACGGTTTCCTTTTTTTAAATAGCTCCCAGCTGGGGCTCTGCAGGCCGGGGGAGGCGGGAGGGGCCTCAAGGGCCCCAGACGGCTGGGCTGGGCCGGCACAGGTGTGAGGCCGCAGGTGGGAGGGGGCCCTGGGCATCCGCATTTCCACCAAGCTCTTGGGTGACGCTGATGCTGAGGGTGCCATGAGCACTCTTGGGGAACCACTGGCTTAGAAGCCACAATTTTATCCAGGGTCATTTACACTTTCTGCGCCCAAATCGCAGGGAGCAAGAGACAACTGTTCACCTATGACCCCGAGGCTGCCGTGGCCGGTACCTCGGCCTAAGGGGCTCGGCGCCCCTGCTCGACCCGACCCGTGTCCCCAGGGAGGCCGCTGCCCAAGGGCTGACCGGAGGTGCGCCCAAAGCCCAGGGTGGCGCTGGCCCCCTTCTCAGCGCTCCCCCCGCCCCGCATCCCCTGGGGCCTGCCCTAAGCCTGGGGGCCCTGGACCCCGTGGGGCCCGGGGGACCCAAGGGCTGTACCTGGGGGTCCACCGGCCTGAGCATGGGCGGCGTCCGGGCAGGCTGCACCCCGCTGATGCTGAAGGACTCGGACCTCGGGGGCAGCGCGGGGTCGGATATCCTGTTGGCGACCTTGTGCGGCATAGCGGGCGAGCTCTGCCGGTTCAGCCTCGAGCGCTCTTCCACCTGGGGGTCAAAGCAGACGAGTCGGACACAACCCAGGCCTGAGGGCCGGCGGGAGGCTGCTCTGCGTCCTCGGCCCTCAACGCCCCGCACCTGCTCTGCGGCAGGCACCTTTGGAGAAGCTATTCTCTGGGGCCCCGGGGGCGGGGGGGGGGGGCAGGCTGTGACCCCAGGGTCCTGGGATCGAGTCCTGTGTGGGCTCCCCGCAGGGGCCTCCCTCTCTGTGTGTCTCAGGAATAAATAAATAAAATCTTAAAAAAAAAAAGGCAGATCCTTTTTTTAAAACAAAAGTAGGAGGGGGCAGCTCGGGTGGCTCAGCGGGTGAGTACCTGCCTCTAGCCTAGGCCGTGACCCCAGGGTCCCGGGATCGAGTCCCCCGTCAGGCTCCCTACATGGAACCTGCTTCTCGCTCTGCCTGGGTCTCTGCCTCTCTCTATCTCATGAATAAATAAATAAAATATTTTAAAAAAATAAAAGGCAGATCCTTTCTTTAAAACAAAAGTAGGAGGGGGCAGCCCGGGTGGCTCAGCAGGTGAGCGCCTGCCTCGGGCCTAGGCCATGACCCCGGGGTCCCAAGATCGAGTCCTGCGTCAGGCTTCCTGCATGGAGCCTGCTGCCCCCTCTGCCTGGGTCTCGGCCTCCCTCTCTCTCCCTCTCTCTCTGGGTCTCTCGGGAAGGAGTCCCACCTTACACCACCACCCGCCCCGAGCCGGGAGCCATCACCCTGTGCTGCCGGGCCCTGCACTAGGGCCGCCGGCCGGAGTTGGGCCTCCCCAGCAGTCTCTCCTGCGCTGCCTGGCTCTCATCCTGCCAACGGGTCGCCAGGCTGTGGAGCAGCCAGGGAGCCCGAGGGCAGTGTGGGGGCATCGGGTGCCCGGGGAAGGCGGACCGCCTGGAGGAGGCGCCCACACCCCTTCCTCACGGCCCCACGGGCTGCGGCCCTCCCTTCAGTGGACTTCCCGCACCGTTTCCTTCCCCCTCTTTAGGGCCCTTTCTTTCCCCTCATCTCCCCGCTCCGCTTCCGGCCTGGACTCTCCCCACCCCGTTCTCCGGGCCCGTCCACGCGTGACCTGCATTTTCGCTCCCCGCCTCCCTGTCTCCCTGCCGGCCGCCCTCCGGGGTCACTTCATCTCCCTCGTCATCCCCCTTCTTGGGGAGTCTGTCTCAGCCCAAGGCAGGGGCCTGAGCAGAAGTGTTCCCCAGGAAAGGCCTACGGGCCGGGGGGCGCCCCCTCCATGGGAGGACACCCCCCACCCCTGTCCACATCCGGAGCCTGCAGACTGTCAAGGAGGGCATCTCCCATGGAGATTTAGATGAACACGACGGACACTGCAAGGCACGACTGAAGATCTGCGACAGCTTCAAGAGGCCTAGGCCTTTGCTTTCAGATCAATCTCCTCCTGCCCTTTATTTCTGTAGGGTCAGTTTGGCAGCCCTATATTCCAAACCTCCCAGGCAGCGCCCCCCACCGTGACCCTGCAGTGTGAGCCGGACCCCCCTTCTGCTGACTCACTGATGAGGGTTCCAAGTGCCCGCCAGGGAGCCCACCTGCAGGCCAAGACCCGTCTCCAGGGGGCGCCTTCTTCACTTCACTGCCAGATTTGAAATAAAAATCCACGAGAGCTGTTCTTTCCCATCCTTCCTATTTCATTTTAAATCTTTCTAGACGCAGACTCAGCCTCAGATACAGAAGCCTGTTATTAGGTGCTTATATTAACTGCAAACGTGTTAACATAACGAGGGGGGCTGAAGAATAGAAAACCGTGCCCCCGCTTCTACCCGGGGGAACTCAACATCTCCTCTCCCACCATGGCTGTGCAGGGTACATACGATTGGCATCCAGTGGACTCTGGTGTTGAAACTTCACGTCCCCCCCCGCCCCCAAAAAAGAAACTCCACGTCCCAGAGCTCACCACACACCAAACCAGGTTAGCTACCCAAAGCCAGAACATGCATACTTTGCGTACGTGTGTATGCAAAGTATTACATCAGCAGTAATTATTTGACCACTGCACGGAGCAAAAAAATAAAATAAAGCCAGGTTTGAGCTGAGACCATGAAGAAGAGAAAGTCCCACAAAGACAGATAAACTCAGACTAAGCCATGCACTGTACTGCTTTTCTAAATACTAGTGTCCTTGAAAACAAAGTGACGACTTCCAGACCACTGGACTCGGCCAAATATTAGCCATCTGCTTACTTCCCCGGAAGAGTGGAGAACACTTGCTGTTATTATTATCTTTTCCAGCTATAAAACACCCTCAGTTTTAAACACACACTTAGAGACAGCACATTCTGAAAGCACTAGAAAAAGTCTGCCTTGAGGGGATGGAGTCGAAGAGGATGCCACCGTGAGCAAAGAAACCTTTTTTGAGACGAAAAATCCTTTTGGCAACAGCCAGCAGCAAGGTTCCAGTAAAGGGGGGACTCTTAGCACAGGCCACACGGCTCCAGAGCCACGTGGGAAATGAACAGGGCAGGAAAGTGAGGCGCCGAATTCACAGGCAGGTAACGGGTTTGATAGGTTGTGAGTAAATATTACGAATGCACGTCTGCTAAAGTTGCCCGTGCCTTCTCTCAGTGGTTTACATACTAAATCCCACCACCGGTATGCGTCAGGCTGTACCATTCTAAAATACATGGTTACAATAATCTACTGTTGTTTCAGGACGGTTTAATTTGTTGAAATTTCCTGGGTTGGAGTATGTCCAAAGAAACTCAAAAATCTATGAGAAAGGTGTAATAATGAGCCATTTGGCTGTATGCTTTGTCCCAAGAGAACTTTGTCCTAAAGTTTTTAGGAAGAGAATGCTGCCCACTGCTTTTTGCACCAAAGGAAACAGCATGTGTACTGGAGCAAAGATACCAAATCAAGCATCCTACTATCAGACAGACAAAGGAGACGCTGGGTGGTGTATCTAGGCTCAGGCCCTTCTGATTATTTTGATACTGGGCAAAGGCCTGTCTCCTGATTCACCACATCTTATTCCTACTAATTGAGAAGGAGATGGATCTGTGAGTGAGACAGAAAAAAAAATGTTTTTTCACCCAGAATAAGGATATATATGATTAAACCCTGGGGTACAATGAAGATATGTTTCAATCTGCCTTATATAACACTAAAAATAAGTCTATTAGCTGAGCCTCTGCTCCAAGGAGATGTAAAATGTCAGAGTCACCACCAAAAAAAGAATGTTCTAGTAGCAACAGACATAGAGTGTCAAGGTGCTGGACCATGACAACAAGAGGTATCTGTTACGAAGGATTTCATACTTGAAGGGATTATCAGTGAATGTAGAGAACAAGATTAGGAGGGACTGATCAGTTTTAGGACAAAAGCCATATTTTTCTTATTAAAAGGATCGTTTTAACATTAAAACTAAAATTGAGAGGTTTAGATCACCTCTGCAGAAATGCTTTCCTATGTATTACAGCATTACAGGGAGAAAAAAAGAAACAGAATTGTGGTCTCAGAAATGAAAATCTGCTCCAGGCATGGCTGTGTTGTCCACTGGGTTCTACAGGAGTGATGCCTAACGCCTCTGAGATGCATAAAGGCTATGTAAACCCAGGAGACCTGAAAACAAATTTGATTACAAGATTTCAAAAAATTCCTCAGAATAAATAAAAATGTTTAAACATGCATAAAAAAAGGACACATGTCAATTGTTAAATTATTTTGTACGTTGGCGACAATTCATAGCTTTCGATGTCTCCCTTAGCAATAATGAATGGTATCTGTTGAGAGGAATATTTCAAAACAAAATCATAGGAGTGATTTTTTAGATGTTGACAGCAAAACTGTATCTATGATGTCATATGGGTGCATTTTTTATAACGCTTTATATGATGCAACATCCGTGGGGTCTGTGGTCTAGAAGGCCTTACTTAAAAGCTTGTTTATCTATGGTGAATTAAACACAGTCACGTGGGAATTCCAACTGAGCAAAACAGTTTGATGTTTTTGTCTTCACTGGCAATGTTGGGGAAAGAGAAAGAAGTCGACAGATAACCTTCAAGTGCTCATTAACTCTGTAGGACCCCACATTCACTGGTCACATAAAGAGTTGAGTCACATTGTCCTTTGGCAAAACCACAGGAACAGATGGTTACTGAGCAAGGTTGGGGATATCCCTTCTCTGAGGCACCTGTGAGAACCGGGGAGACTCATTCATGTGAAATGCTTAGAAAGGAGTCTCGTCTGAAGACAAGAGCCTGGACTACTTGTCCAGTACCCACTCTTAACCAATGACTCCAGAGAAGAGTATTAGGTCTTCATGGGGATGGAGCATGTAACTTAAAAATAATAAGGCAAGCCCTTCACAAGCTGAGATGAGAAGTGAAGAAGTGTGCATGTATCCCTGGAGGGGAGTGGGTGGAGGCCATGGGGTTGCATGTGGACTGCCCTTGTGAAATCCAAACCAGAAACAACAGAGGCAAAACACTTATTCCTGGTGGGTGACAGTGGCCTTGGAAACAAAACGTGACTGTGTTGAAGACTGTATTTCATTGTATCTGCACAGGGCCTAGAATTTCCATGGATCGCTCACATATGCGATGGCCCGGGGGCATTCCCGAGAGGCAGGACGCGCAGCTGGGGAAGCTGCACCTCAGGAAGGCTACAAGACTTGTCCCGGCCACCCAGCCCGGCGGTGGGAGAACTCGAACTCAAACTTCTTACTCCTTCCCAGGTCTCTCTCATGCCAGATCTTAAGAGAGCGAAGCAGAAACTGAGGAAAGAAGGGAGCAGAGCTGTAAACTCTAAATGGTAATTTGGGACCTCATATGTAAAATGAGTCATATAAAAAGGGGGGAAAAACCCCCACATCAGTGTAGAGTAGGGAAAACCAAGTGGAGGAGTTCTTACATGCAGGGATTTCAGCGTCCTATGGGCTGATGAGATATAAAGAGACATCTTGGCCCATCGTTTGCCAAATTACACCATGGCCAGATGACTGGAATGCATCACAGAGTAAGAACATGATGGAGTGTTGAAAAAAATTAAAATACAATCTCATACAGTATTCATGTGGGGACAGCATTCAATCACTGCAGCGTGCTGATGGAGATTTAAAAAAATACAGGGGGGAGGGGGGGAAGGCATGCACAATTACTGCCAGGCCCATCCACAAGCCATTTTAAGGAAAGGAATCTGCTCCGTTATAAGCAAAAAGGTATTATAAGAAAAGGAATCTCCATCTTTCAAAAAGTGGCACTGAGAAAAAACAACCTCCCGGTTCTGCTGATGTTTTTTTTTTTTTTTTTTCCTGCTGATGTTTAACAGAATATCATACTGATGTTTTTACCAAACAAATCTAACTTCCATCCCAATCCAGAAGTGGCCGAGAATTTGCAAGGGGTGAAAATGCCTTGACCCCGCCCCTTTCCATAGAGACAGGAAGGTTCCTCTCTGGCCCAAATCTGAAAATCACAGTCAGTGTGACAATCGGGACAAAGCACTCCGTCAGAGGAGGGAGGGAAGAGCTTGACAAGATGTGCAGAGGAGTATTTTCATTTCTTCTTATTACATCCAACAGATTAATGAGAAATGCGATGATGACCTAACGTTTTACAAAGTGAAGCAACAAAATCACCGACGGTGAGGCACTGTAACATCACAGCAGCTGCCGAGAAACTGTCGGTTTGAAAAAAAAAAAAAAAAAAGGAAGAGAAATAAGGGGATGAGAAAGTAACCAAAGAAGGACAAACCATCCTGGGGAGGAGGTAGAGAGCTGAGTTAGAAGACAGATACGGCATAAGTCACAGAGGCTGCAGGGGGAGGAGCCCGTGGCATGGGCACCGCTGGCCCCTCGTCCCTGGCAAGGATCACTTCCATTTTAGACCCTGGGAGAGGATGCATTTGAAAAAGAAAGGGTGCCTTTTATTCTAACTGCTAAAGAGAGTTTAACTCAGGTTCTTTCTCTTGGCTGATGAGTAAGATTCGGCTGGGCTTGAAATTCTGTCCACATCTAGAGTTTTGAAATGTATTTTGTCGTCTAGCTACTTTCAGCCCCGGCAACCTCACTGTTATAGGGAAAGAAACCTTTAAACAATGCTTGAGAAGTTCATATGCTGCTCGGAGAAGCATTAAAAAGGTCAAGGAGACCAGGATCCTCATACCCATTTTTCTTCCCATTTTAAGAAGTGGGTGTTAAGAGAAGGATGAATCAAACCAAAGCAGACAATTATTTGTTCTTATTTGTGTACCAGTCACTCCAGTTCCAAATTCAGCCCATCACTTATCCAATGATCTAAATGTTTCGTCTCTCTTCTAGAATATGAACACCCACTCTAAGACTTGGGAACGGTTTCATGAATAGATTGGTTAGTTGGAAGCCGGATTACGTTAAGCACACCCAGGAGGATAGGACTAAAGATGAATCCCCAAAGAATATTCCCACACATGTCTAGAATTGCGTGAAGCCCAAAGAAGAGTGCCAGCTGCTAGGAAGCCAGAGGCCTTGGAAGATGTCACCCACCAGAGGTGGCCCAGATTTATGATGGCCGGGGAACCTCACATCGGGAGTGCTTGCTGACACAGCTGGGTTGTTTGCACGCCCAACTGCTGTGTTTCTTTCACTGCTAGGAGCCTGGCCAGGGAGCACAGAGGAATTAGAAGGTCTAGGAAACCATCTTGATGGTATCTGCAGAGATTGGCCTCCAGGAATGCCACGACTTCTGAAAGCTCGGGAACTGTGACCCAATTCCGAACAGAGAGGATAGGCCGGGAAACTTAGCGAGGAGGACAAAGAGTAACTAGATAACCATGAAGTCAAAGTGGTTAAGTTCACATCAGAATGTGCCGGGTAGAGGTGGAAGGAAGGACGTGGGAACGGCTCCGGGCTTCTCCCCCTTTGCTGGAACATTTGCACATGAGGGAGGTGCACGGGGGAAAGGAGGGATTCTGGGATGCTTTGCAAAGAATCACGATCTTCTCCAGTGGGGTCTGTGGGTGCACCTCTCCTAGACTCATGCCTGGGGCTGGGAGCACCGAGGGCCATGTGGTCATGCATCAAGAAGAGGTCATTTAGCGATGCAGCACTTCTTAGAGGCGTTGAGGCACTTGGAAGGATGCATGGATTCATGCCCCTCCTGCCCCGAGGTCCGCAGGAGTCTCTAAGGCCCTTCTTACTTGCAGTGATGGACAACTTGGGGCCGGTCACTTTGAAGATGTTGGGAGAGGACACACAAACGACCTTAGACCCTAACTCTTGAGTTGGACTACATCCTTGGGAGCGAGATCGCCGTGGGGATCTCACTGTGGTCCTCCAGGCTTCCTGAGCCTTCAGGGGTTCTTCAAGACCAACTCTAATAGGACAAGCTGGTCCACCTTTCTTCCATGAGTGATGCTCCAAGAGAAGTCTTGATCTGGCATCATTAATCTCTGCAGGTGCTACTGGCATTAGCTTAGCGGAGCCTAATTTCTCAGCCTTCTGAACACCTGCCATGATCAGGAGCTGTGAGTGTAGCTTAGCTGAGGGTTTCAACTTGGCAGGGCCAGAAAACGGTTTAGCAGTGGAGGAAGGTGGCACATCTCTGCCAGCCAGGACGCACATCAGCTGCTGTCTAACAGCAGAGTGATTCTGCTTAGCTGGAAGAACAGGTGGGTTATTAAAGGGTCGGTGCTGTACCTGGGAGTAGGATCACAAAATTGAGTTATTGATCGAAGAGAAAGAGGCAGCTGTTAGAGACACAGGTAAATACAAATCATCTTTATAGACTCTAAAGGAAAGTGATCAAAAACATTCTTTATGTGGAATCAAACGATTTTCTCTACAGATTCCGTTTTTCTAAGTTTTAAAAGAAAAAAGTTTGGTTTCTGTAAAAATAGCACACAATCACCATAAAAGATTTAAGCAACATATGAGAATACAAGAAAGTTCAAAGAAAAAAATTGTTTGTGCTGCCCTTAAACAATCATCGTTAACATTGGGGCGACATCACTTCAAGCATTTTCTATATATATATATATATATATATATATGAACAAAAAAATAAAAAGACGGGAATATGTTTATAAAAATGGGATCTTAGGTAAGAAATCTAGTTAAGAAATCTAGTTCTGGTAAGACTGTACTCTAGATAACTTGAAATAAGCTCTAGCACCTGAAGATACTAGAAGAAAATACAAAATACCACAAACATCCGCTTAAATGACTGGCTATGCTTACAAGGAAATAAAGGAAATCACTGGGTGCCACAAACAATGACAGACCTGAAAACCAGGGTTTTAAGCACACAGACTGACACAGCGACTCCTGGGAAGGTTGTTAAGCTTGGCTGATCTTGTTTTTTTTTTTTTTTTGCTCTGTCCATTGGGTCATCACCTTTTTTCCTCCCATCCAAAGAGTTTTAAATTAGATTTTTAAAATAGCTCATCACAAGGCCGAGTTCTTAAAAATCCGCCCTTACTCTAGTAGTTGAGCAAATGAAGAACCAGGGCTTTGGAAGTACTTGCAAAAGAACTAGCAATGACCTCTGATCCTGAAAGCAGTCGCCACAACCGCGGGTCTGAGACCAACTGTGCCTCCATTCATACCGCAACGGAACAAGGGAGAGTCGGCGGCAGTGCTAACGATCACTTTTAGGGTCTAGGTACAGACAGGAAATGATTATACCTAAAATTCCCTAAGTCTTTACTGAATCATCTTCTTTCATGGGGGAAGTCATTAAATATCCTCATGTTGCAAACTCATTCGGACCCTTAGGACAAAAGTGACTTTTCTACTTCCTGTTATTGTGTACAAAAATCCCCTGTATCCAAGAAGATACAACAACAACAACAAAAAATCCCTGAAAAACAAAAATCACTAATGGATTCAGGTGCCTTGCCAATTCTCTACAGAAATAATATTATGGCTCTTCCAAAAGCAAAGCATGCACTGCTCACGAGGCATCGTTTTCCAGTTGCGTCGCACTAGTTTAATTCTCTACTTCTACTGGGTCAACTCACCGCAGCCACCAGCCCGGCCGGCGGGACATGGCTACACTTGCTGGAGCACTTACCTCCTTGGCCCATGCTGGCTTCTCGCTAGGACTCATCCCTTCCTTGTAATGGTACAGTGGCTTCTTCTCCACAGGCCTCTGCTCCTGCCGCTGATGCTGGAGGGAAACCAAGTAGTCTCTCTCTTGCTTCAGCTGTCTCTGTAGTCTTTCTGCTTGTCTCTGTTCTTCCAGTTGTTTGCGTTTATATTCCTATCCAGACCAGGAAAGAGAAGCAAAGAAAGGGCCAAATCACCATATGGAAACCACTGGCCGGCACCGGAGAAGCATGCAGTGGAGCCCAGAGAGATGGTAACAAGAGGCCTGAACGCCAACAGAACCACAGAAGGATGTCAGGGCGTGTTACAGAGATAGGCTCCAGCCGGGGCTTAGCACGTCACGAAAACACTCTTGCCTTAGTGGCAATCCCTACAGCACACCCCTCATTGCAAAGTGACTTGTCCCTGACCTGCGACCAAGAGAGTGGCAATAATGAGGACATCTGGATGGTCAGCACCACCCCTACAGGGAGCCATCCACTTCCTGATTTAGTAACCAAACCATTCAAACATGTCCAATGAAGCCCCAAACTGAGTAAGTAGCTACAGGTATTGCTCAAATCCTCTTTCGTTTAACAAAAGTTGGTCCAACGAAGGCCATTGGCAAGCATATGCAGAGGCTGAAAAATATCATAGGGCCACTGAAGAAGAATTTCAGGTAAAAAAAAAAAATCAAGAAGCTCATTTGGAGAGCAGTGCGATAATAATAAAAAAAGCACTTCAAGTGGAAGCCGCGTGAGCAGGGAACACAAAATGTTCCCATCGTAAGGGTAAAACTAATAGTCTGCAGATGAAATATGACTGCAGAGCTGAGTGGGTACCTACAGAGGAGGGGCCTTTTGCTGTGATTGTATTCCAGCACGTTGCAAATGACCTTAAAAATTACTCTGCGATAAACACAGTGGGTCTCGAAAACAGCCCCAACTGGTAATATGCCCGGATTCGTGCGAAAGTTTCGCAAAGAGGAGGCACTAAGGGATGCCTCCAAGTGCCTCACATGTATTCGGGTGGCAAACTAGGTCAGGAAACGTAGTAAGCCCCCACGAGCCTTTGGAGGTCCATGGGGCTTGGAGGACCCCCCCACCCCAGGACCGGCGTGTTAGGGGGCACACACAAGGACACACGCGCACACACGCAGGAGGAACACAGAGCAGGTGGCTGGCCCTCGGCTTTCCCATTACCAGAAGTAGAGCTTGTTCATGCAGTAGCTGCTGCTGCAAGATCTCTAACTGCCTCTGCTCCTCCTCTAACTGTCGCCTGATGTACTCCTGGAGAGGTAGGCAGCAGAGCACGCACAGCGACACAGGAGGGAGAGAGAGAGAGAAAAAGAACCGGTAATTTCAAAGGTGACAAGAGCTGCCAAGGAAAGTGTGGAAGGAAGGAGGGAAGTAAAAAAAAACAAAAACAAAAAACAAAACACCAGAAACCAAAATATACCCAGACACGTCCTCTCACCACACGGGGAAAGTAGGGAAGCAAAAGCCCTTGTTGGCGGCCCAAAGCCCAGGCCTCGCGGCTCTCATGAACGCGGCCAGTTCGAAAGCTTTCCAGCGCAGGTTCCCCCGCCCCGGCTCCCCACGCAGCAAGGCCAGGGGTTCAGGGGCTCCTGTGCGTGGTGGGAAGGAATCCTCGTGGGCTGTGGTCGGCCCGCGAGTGTCACAGGAGGGCCCATGGAGGCTGGGGTGTGACCGTCACTCGCACCCAGGGCCGCACCCGCTCGGCCGGACGCTGTGCGAACAGAAAAGCCCTTCCGAAGCCACGGCCGGGCCGGCTCGCTGATCGGGCCTCGGGGCCACGTTCCCAGGACCACCCCCTGGGGCTGGGGGGACCCCAAGATCAAGGTGGGTCAGGAGGCTCGGCCCGGCAGGAAGCCAGGCGCCACGCGGGCATCGCCACCAGTGGGCATCACCAGGGCTGTGCGTCCTGCTTCTGGAAGAGGCGAGAGGAGCGGGCTGATGAGCAGTCCCGGGGACCCCCCTCCACCCCCAGGGTGGCTGGTTCAGGAGCTTACTCCCAGGGACTCCCCCAGGGTGGCCGGCTCAGGAGCTTCCTCCCGGGGACCCCCCCTCCACCCCTCACGGTGGCTGGTTCAGGAGCTCCTTCCCGGGGAAACCCCTCCAACCCCCCACCCCCACCCCCACCCCTAGCGGCCGGCTCAGGAGCTCCGCCCTGGGGATACCCCTCCACTCCCCCGGGGCAGCTGGTTCAGGCACTCCATCCCGGGGACCCCCTCCCAGGGTGGCTGGCTCAGGAGCTTTGTCCCGGGGACCCCCCCAGAGTGGCTGGCTCAGGCACTCCGTCCCGGGAACCCCGGGGACCTCCCCCACCCCTACATCCCAACCCCCAGGGCGGCTGGCTCAGGAGCTCTGTCCCAGGGACCCCAGGGACCCCCCCCCAGGGCGGTTGGCTCAGGAGCTCCACCCGGGGACCCCAGGGACCCCCCCCAGGGCAGCTGGCTCAGGAGCTCCATCCTGGGGACCCCCCACCCCCCCGGGACCCCCCACCTGCTCAGGAGCGCCTACCTGCTCGTGCTCGGCGCGCCTCCTCTCCTCCTCCCGCCGCATCTGCTCCTCGTAGTGGCGGCGCTGCTCCCGCTCCTGCTGCTTCCGCAGCTCCTTCTCCCGCCGCTGTTGCTGCGGGGCCACAAGCAGGGGAGCGTGAGCGGGGGGACAGGGTGCAGGGCCTTCCGACGGTGGGGCACCGAGAGCAAGCCGGGGCCACGCAAGTCCCCGCGGCCCATGCCATAGGCTCCCCGGGTTTTACTCCCCCGGGGCTCCCGCCCAGTGCACCCCCCCCCACGGGCGGGGGTTCCACTCAGGGGCAGGAGGCCCCCCCGCACGGGGACATAGGACATGTGACATGTCAGCAAACCGCTGAGGAGATTCTGCGGGTCCTACACGCGTGGGCAAAGCTCGCCACCTGGTCTCTGACACGCGCAGGACAAACACAGCACAGGTGAGAGAAAGCAGGATCCAAGGCGATCAAGTGACCTGCTCGAGGCCATTCGGGAATTAATGGCCAGAATTCACTGCCTCTGACCCCATCCGCCACCCCATGTGCTACCCCACGCTGCCTTTCTTTACTCTCTGGAGTATTCTCCGGTCCGTGTGCATTTCAACTTCTCATCGAGTAAGACCCTTACACGCGCATCATGGCCAGCGGACAGGGTGACAGGCCTTTCGTGCTCGGCCTTACTTAATGGTCGCAAAGATCTGCTGACGGGGAGGTGACTATTACCATCCCCAGGCCCCATGAGAAAACGGAAGCGCGGAGACATCCGGCAGTTGCCCAAGGTCCCCCTCCTGTTGCAGGTCATGCCCCCCAGTCGGTGGCGGAGCTTGATTTCAAAGCACAGAAGATGAAGAGGCAACAGCAGTGATAGACGGGAAACAATCCGGCTCTTCCTCGTGCTCTGGGAAAGGGGGCCCATCTCGGGGTAGTTACAGGAAGCAACGGTTCTCGGTGGGACAGTACCGTCCCCCAATCCCTGGAGCATTGGGGATGTGCAGGGCCCTGCGGGAGTTCTTCTCCCGTCTCTAGGACTACAGGCCATGACTGGCACTTCGTGTGAGGGGCCAGGGATGCCAAACATTCCATAATGCACAGGACGCTCACGCATCGCGAAGTGTCTTCCTACACCACATGCCATCCGTGCTCCTTTTGAGAAGGGCCGCAGCCCTATACTGGCATTAGGATTTCTTCTTCCTCGAATACGAGGTCTGGGGGAATCCATGCGAGGGGCTCATTCCCCTTTAACATTCTCAACAGCACTTCGCTGCCCGGCTGAGAAGATGGGAGTTACTCAAAGCAGAACGGACCGGGCCTATATCACACTGACAAGCGAGCTTAGGGCAACCAGGGAAAGAACCTTCTGGTACAAAAGCTCTCCGTCACAGGCCCAGCTAAACCAAGCAGACGTCGGAAACTCCAAAGAAGCCCACGAATGGGGAGGCCTTCCTAAGGTGGCTCCCGCCTGCAAGCCCCGGGCCTGCTGTCTTCCAGTGACCTCTGACGCTTGGAGATAAGCTACAATTTTTTGAGACTCGGGATCAAGTTGGAGATCAAGAATTACTCGTCCTCCTTAGACTGTAGGGGATAGGGAGCCACTGTAGGACGTTCTGCAGTCTAATGCTAGGACCCGACTTGCGTTCTCAAGGGGCCTCCGGACAGCCGTGGGAGGGGGCAAGACTGGAAGCCGAAGTGCAGAGCGAGGCCGTTCTCTGGGTGCAGCCAGAAATGACAGGGCACCCATGAGTCAGGCAAAGGCAGCGGGGGACCCATGTTCACACTCGCGGCTGAGAACGGAGACGCAGCCAAAACGCAGACAGACTCAAAGCTACCCAGATTTCCAGCTCTTCTAACAGGACTGGAGTGGACGCCAACTTAGAAGGAGAAATTAGAATTAGGCCAAAATAAAATAGGCAGGATTTGGGGACTACGGGGCTTGGGAGGGTGAGGGAAATTCCTGGCCAAGGAGCAGGGCAGACGGTTTGAAACAGGAGGAAAAGCAGGTTTGGGGAAAGGAACGAGGGGTATATTGGGGGATGGGGATGAGTCCAGCTCCAGACGTGTAATTATTTGTTTTACAGAAAAATAATACCGGAAGATGCGAGTAGAAAACATCATCAGAGGAACTGCCTGAATAATTTGGATTACAGACCCAAAACAGAGATCTTTCCAACACTCAACCCAAGTGAATCAATGCCAGCACAGAGGATAGAATAATTATGTGTACAGATCTGGCTCCTGGCAGGAACTAGCCCTACTTTAGCTAACATTTCAAGTTTTTTACTCCCACCACTGGCCTCTTTCTGGACAAAAAAATAAAATAATCAAGGCTTTTGAAGATTTGGCTGATTTTTATGTGAAGGATTTGTACATTTTCAGCCCCTTTGCCGGGAATCAATACTGTTTTATAATTACATGCCACTCAGGTCCTTGTGCAAGGTGTACACAGTATTGATTGCAACTCAAGAGGGTCTGTAGTTTCTGAGAAAGACACTCAGAAGTGACTAATAATTAATAATGATCTCACTCAGATGAGCTGCCACTAACGCATGGAGGCATCTGCCGGGGCTTCGGTTCCTGTGGCGAGGTTGGAAAAATAAATCACTTCCCCAACCTTCTGAGGGCACCTTGCCAATTTCCAGCTGCTGTGTTTCAAAGTCAATGCCTTTCCCGGAAAAATCTTTGCTCTCTTTCCTCCTGGGCGTGGGGCTATTTGAGGGGACATACCAAAGGCCGGGTCCCTGGCCTCAAGCAGACACCTCACCTCTACAAAGCTCTGATGACGCCCGCTAGGAGCAGCTCATTGAGGGAAGGCCTGTGCTTGATTCCCGCTGGACCCGCAGACCCCCCACGTGTGGCTGGGCACCTGGCAGGGACATGGAAGTTTCTTTGGATTGACCCAAGGAAGAAATTCGGGGCAAAAGAGGACAACACAATATCTTACATTTCCTTGGAGGCATTTTCTGTCTCATCAAACCTTAGAGTTTATATCACACTGTGCCTTAAATTATGGTTATCTGAGTGTGTCTTACCTACTCTACAATCTCGCTGAAAGCTATTTGTGGGCAGGATCTCTGTTCCACTCTACTTTTTTATCTCCCACTAATCCCAGTACGTCCCTGATACCATTGATCTTTGTTGCACTTAATACAGTAAACTGGGTTGCAAGAGAGGAGGAGAAAGTCTAGCAGAGCCTCAGACAACCCCTCTACCCTTCTATGCCTTTTTGGGCCAGAATATTCTTTTGTGTTGAGCAGAGAAAATGCCCGAGAGTATTTTTCTTTTTTCTTTTTTTAAAAAGATTTTATTTATTTATTCATGAGAGACACACACAGAGACAGGTGGAAACATGGACAGAGGGAGAACAGGCTCCCTGCCAGGAGCCTGATGCTCAGGGATCATGCCCTGACCTGAAGGCAGACGGTCAATTGCTGAGCTACCCAGGCTTCCCCTGAGAGTATTTTTCTAAACCGAGAGCATTGGCATGGCATCTATTTGCCATCTTAAAGAAAGGCGGGAAAATAAAACAAGGGGATAAGAATCTAACCATTTCTAAATTTCATTTAAATTACGCATACAGTTGACAGCAGTCCTATTGTCAAAAAGGAATGGCTTACACCAACTATCCTAAAACTTTTTACCAATGCCCCACCTTTCCTGAACTACCTAGAAGTATGTTTTCATCCACATCTTGTATCACTTAAATTAGATATCCAATAGGTTTTTATAAGTTTCTTAAATTTTTTCCCCCGGTTGGGGGATGACTGACATAATACCCACTCTGAAAATTTTCCAGACTAAAATCAGTATTATTGCCTTGCTCTATAGAGTAGGTCACTGAGGTCTTCTTGTCCTTCTGTCTTCTATGGATCTTCCCAAAGAATAATTTTGTTTAGAGTAGTTTTGGTTCTCCCCCAGGGTGTTCCCCTCAGGCTCCCTCGAGTGGAGGATGTGTGGCTGTATTTCAAGGATGTGAACCGGTCAGTTTATCCAAATGAAATAATCCTGTTCCCTTGCTCAGGGGAAGGATTGTCCATTACGCCCAAATTGATTATGCAGAATTTTGGCTCTTTAAATTCTTGCAAGACAATATCACCTTAACTCTTAAGTATTCAATTCTTATTAAAGTTGAAACAAATAATCTCATGGCTGGTCATCTCAAAAGGCATGGTGTTGATCTGTCTTTCCTTTGTTTTTGTTTGTTTGTTAGTTCGTTTTTAAATAATCCTTTTAAATTAAGTTTAACCAGGAGAAAGGTGTGAACTCCACTAGGGTGCTCTGGCTCTCATAGAAGTGACTTTTGATGAACTGTCGGGCCAGACCCTGCACTTCACAAGGTTATCAGAACAGCTGAATAAAGCTAAGCACTGTGTTTGTGGGAGGAACATCGCCTCCCACATTCTTCGCAGCACTACTCAACCATGACCAGGCAAATGTACAGGTTCTCAGTTGTCTCAGAAAGCTGGCTCGAGCAACACATTTACTTGTATCCACTGGACAACGTGAATCTCAAACCACTCGAGTTCACCTCTTTTCTCAGGGGCTAGGGTTCTCAGAGTCAGACTGGGGGCCCCCTTCAGGCACCTGTGCCCGGGGGCACCATGTTGTGAAATGACCCTACCTGGCTTTGTCTTGTTTTTCTCTTCTGCTTTATAATCCCTTCTACTTAATCTTCTCTTCTATAAGAATTTTAGTTGCTGTATTAATCCTTGTAAGCAACCTTACGTCCTCTTTTTGGAACAAAGAAAAATCACAAAGGCTATGCACAAACAAATGAAAAATAAATCTTGGTTCTCATGAGAGACACCGAACTCTGGGAAATAAACAAGGGGTAGTGGAAGGGGAAGTGGGCAGGGGGTTGGGGTGACTGGGTGATGGGCACTGAGGGGGGCACTTGGCAGGATGAGCACTGGGTGTTATGCTAAATGTTGGCAAATTGAACTCCAATTAAAAAAATTTTTTTTAAAATTTTGGTTCTCCACAGATTTTATGACCTCAAAACCTCTCTTGGAAAGATGAAAAGGAGATAAACAATAAATTCAGACTTGTAATTTGGTTCTTTGTTTAAGAAGGTGGCACCTCTGTCGATATCACCTGAGCAAGTGGTTAAAGTTGTTTTTACAGC